CAGGGATGGAGCGAGGCAGCTCGATTAATGAGCCTTCACTGAGCAAGCATGAAGACCTGTGTTCGATCCCCAGAGCCTACATAAAACAGTAAGCATGGTGACATGAGCTTGTAATCTCAGCTCTGGGGAACCAGAGACAGGCAGATCCACGAGGCTTGCAGCCTAACTGGTGAACTCCGGACCAATAAGAGACCCTGTCTCAAAGGAGATGGGTGGCGTTCCAGAGTACAACACACAGCTTCTTCAAAAACAGTCCCTCAGTTTACAGACAGGCTTTGTGCTACAGAGCTTTTCATTGCTGTGACAAATACCCGAGAGAAATGGCATGAAGAGAAGATTCATCTTGGCTCAGGTTTCAGAGACTCAGCCTTGCAAGGGGCCGAGAGGTGTAAGATAGCAGGCATTCAGAAGGCTCAGGCAGGAGGATCAAAAGTTCAAGGCCAGCCTGGGCTACACAGTGAGACCCTATCTGGAAAAAGAAAAGAAAACACAACAAAGAGCTCATCAGGGTCTTATTAAAAGGCATGATTCCCAGAGAAGTTTGTCTAGCCCAGTCCAGAGTGAAATAAAGACTTTGTTCATCTTGGTGACCCCAGTTCCCTGAAAAGACAGAAAAGATGAATCAGGCTTTCAAAAGAAAACAAACACAGGGGGCTGGAGAAACAGCTCGGGAGTTAAAACAGCTTGCTGCTCGTGCGGAGGACCTGGGTTCAGTTTCCAGCACCCACATGGTAGCTCACAACTGTCTCTAACTCCAGTTCTGAGGGATCTGACGCCCTCTTCCGGGCTCAGCAGACACCAGGCACACACATGGTGCAGAGGAACACCTGCAGACAAAACACGGATACACGTAAGATAAAAATAAATACATCTTAAAAAAAAAAAAACCTTAGCGTAAGCCTTGTGCCCTGCTACACGTTAGAGAGGCTCCCCAAGGCCCATTTGCCATTCTTTGGACATCTGCAGTGTGTTCCTTATCTCCTCACTTTGAATACTTTTTAAAAATCATGTTAAATATATCCAGAGCTAAAGTCAATAATAAATAGCATGCCGCAGCTTGCTTCTTCTGGGTCCAGACTTCCATCATGCAAACCCCTGCACCTTTCTCCACCACGGACCAAGGGCTGCTCAAGCCCTGGAGAGAAACAAAAATCTGACCACCGGAGAGGTTCCTTAAAAACAATGAGTAACTTCACCCCCAGAAAAGTACAGTTTTTTATTTGTTTTATGTGGTCATTCTGCTGCACAGAAAGATAATGTGACCCCTATTCAAATTTCTCCAGGTCAGGTTGTCCCACTCCATTTTTACCTCGCAAGGTCCCCCCATTCAGCAAGAAGTATCCACTTTTAAGGTATCAACACAAATCTTACAGTGGAGGAACAGACATCTGATGGTGAGAAACTGAAGCCAAGCCCTGAGACCAGATCACCTGCCAGCTTCCCACTCAGCCTCACCTGACCCTGGTCTTGCTCAATCATCAGACTGTGTTTGTGTGTTTTCTTTTATCACCATAGAGTCTGGTGACCAGAGAGGGCCTCAGGGAAGCCACCCCTCGAGCCTGTGCACACGGCCAAGGTAATCAGTGACAGGAATAGTCCAAAGAAATAATATGATCTTTGTTCTTGAGATCTGCAGGCCTGAGAAGCAGCTTGTGACTTGGCGATTGGGATCAGATGTGTGCCTTTTGACCACAAATCTACACTTGAGAAAAGAAGGCACCATCAGGCATGTCATAAAACAGTTTCCTCCAGGCTAAAACCTTCCTTTAAGAAGGGAAACTCCTTAAGATGCAAGATGTGCTAAAGGGAGGTGAAACATTCCATCCTGCGAGGAAGCTCCTTAACAACTCAAAAGCTTCAGGAAGTCCCTGAAACTGACCAGATGCACTAGGACTCTCCCTCCCAAGCTTATAGAACTGGTAAGGAATGCTGAGAGACAGTCTCAGACCAACCAACTGCCTAGAGGAAGGAAATCAGCCAGGTTGCCTGGAAGAAGCAGACTAACTAAGCTGCCCAAGGGTCTCCAAACCACACAGCTGCTTGGAGAAGGCTCTGACCACCTCTGCTGCCTGACACAATTTCCAGCCTATTGAGCTATCAGAAAACTGTGCCCTGAGCTCCAGGTTCCCAGCTCTCTTGAGCTATGATACACACTGGGGTGGGCTTTGGTGATGTGGCTGTTCTTGAGTCAATTCTGCTTCTGTAAGTGGTCCTTAATAAACTCACTGATTCACTGCGGTGGACTTAGTCAGTGGTATCCCTTTGGTTTGTCATCAGTTTCCGATCTGGGATGAACAGATGTTTGTTCACATCTCGGCAGGAGTAACTTCCCACAACAACCCATCTCCTATATTAATAGAAACCACTCCTAAATGGCCCTCCACAGCAGATGGACTTTGGACAGCAGTCCCCCATCTTCTCAATCACTAGGTGATTTTTGTTCATTTGTTTCATTTCGTTTGGTTTGTTCAGACAAGGTCTCCTGTAGCCCAAGCTAACCTCAAACTGGCTATATAGCAAAGAACGCTCGATGCTCCTGTTGGGCTTGCAGGCATATACCCAGTTTGGTTAGGCAAGTGGTAGTGGTCGGGGTTGGTTTGAGACAATGCCTAACTATATAGCCCTGGCAGGTCTGGACCTCATTCTAGCAGGCTGGCTTCCAACTCTAATATATGTGCTGTCTCTGCCTCCCAAGTGCTGGCACTAGAGGTGTGCACCACCATACCCAGCCCCTGGCACTAGAGGTGGGCACCACCACACCCAGCCCCTAGCACTAGAGGTGAGCACCACCACACCCAGCCCCTAGCACTAGAGGTGAGCACCACCACACCCAGTCCCAGTTTCTTTCTAGATGCTTTTTTAAAAAGATTTATTTTTATTTTATGCGCGGGGGGAGGGGGGGTATTTTGCTTACGTGTATGCCTGTGTACCATGTTCGTGAAGTGCCCACAGAAGAGATGTATCCTCTGGAACTGGAGTTATAAACAGTTGTGAGCCACCATGTGGGTGCTGGGAATGAAACCTTAGTCTTCCAGAAGAGCAGTCAGTGCTCTTAGCTGCTGAGCCATCTCTCCAGCCTCCCTCTCTAATATGAGTTTAATAAAGTTGTCTTCCTTGTCTCTGGACTTAATTGGACTATTGTGGAGCAGGTAGCTGGTCTTGGTAACAGACCAAGTAACGGAGTCTATGATCCTACCGTCTGTCCTGCTCCACTCAGCCCTCAGAGGGGCTGAGGAGGCAGCACCTCCCAGACAGGAGTTGAAAATGCTAAGGGGCAGGACCCCCTGCCCAGAACCATCCCCTCCCTCTGCTCCACCTCCAGAAGCAGCTTCACTTCCCAAGTCGTATCTGTGTTCCTTTTTGTTTTTGTTGTTTGATTTTTAAATAGAGTCTTACTATGTAGCCCAGGCTCACATCAAACTGGCAATCCTCCTGCCTCTACTTCTGAGTATTAGCAGGAAAGGAAGCCTGAGTTTCCCTTGGGACTACTGCTCACTGTGGTCGTGATCTTGACTAACACTGTGGAATTTCAGAGCACGTCATTAAGTGAGCCTTATTAAAAAGAAAAGACAGATCTAAGAAGATGTCTTTATTTATTTTATTATTTAGGGGCATGTGCTCCACAAAGGACAAATATGTCTCTTCTCCCGCCTTTACATGGGTTCCCGGGCTTGAACTCGGGTCATCCGGCTCGCATCTTCAGACACCACGTACTCCTACTCACAGAGCCTTCACCTTGAAGCCCCCTTTAAGCGAGTTAATAGCTGTATATTTTATTTTTGTGACTTTTGAAGCTACGTGGCTCAAAGGATGTGATTTCTGATCAGATTCAAAGATTAAGCAAAGTTTCAAAATTAAATTAAACGTGAGCTGGTTTAACTTATTTCTCTTAAAGGGTGTCTTGTAAATGAAAGCTGTTTTCTGAGGTTCATTGTTCTGGTTTATGGATGAGCAAGGAGTGGTTAAAATCAGAGGTCACAGGGTTGAAAACGTGCTAGGGCCTCAAGCATGGCTAATTAGCTCTTTCAGCAAGTTTGAAATCTCTGTCAGAGAAAGGGACTGTTGTCTCTATGGCTGTCTTCAAGGCGGCTTTAACGATCATGTCAAAATCCTTCAGTAAGGCTGGAGATGTAGCTCTGGTACAGCGCTTACCTAGCCCGTGTAACACCTTGGATTCAATCCACACACCACAAAAGCAACTTTAAAAAAAAAAAAAAAAAAAAAAACCTGAGAAAACCAGACTCCTGGGGATAAGGGACTCCTTTCTTTTTCTGGTATTTTGAGACAGGTCTCACTATATAGCTCAAGGTGGGTGTAGCTCAGGCTGGTCTCAAACTTTGCATCCTCCTGCCCTGGCCTCCCAAGCATTGGGATTTACACTACATCCAGCTCCAAGATTTTGTTTTGTTTCCAGACTGAGGTTCATTAGGCCAAGCTGACCTCAAACTCAATATGCAGTGGGAGATGGCCTTGAACTCCTCATCGTCTTGCCTCTACCTCCCAAATGCTAGGATTACAGGTGTGCACCGCCACAGTTGCTGTGTGTCATTTTGTGTGTGTGTGTGTGTGTGTGTGTGTGTGTGTGTGTGTGTGTGTGTGTGTATGTGCATGCCTAGGGCTTTGGGCACGCTACTCACACACTCTCTCTGCCACTGAGCTACATCCCTAGCCATCCATGTGTCCCTCCTGTGAGTGCACACTCCTACATGTGTGTGTCCACATGCATGTGGAGGCCAGAGGGGAACCCCAATTGTCCTACCTCAGGTGCAGTCCTCCTTGGGTTTGTTGGTGGGGGGTTGTTGTTTGGTTGGTCGTTTTGTTTTTTTTTTTTTTTTTTTTTTTTTTGGTTTTTCGAGGCAGGGTTTCTCTGTGTAGCTTTGGAGCCTTTCCTGGAACTCGCTTTGGAGACCAGGCTGGCCTCGAACTCACAGAGATCCGCCTGGCTCTGCCTCCCGAGTGCTGGGATTAAAGGCGTGCGCCACCACCGCCCGGCCGGTCGTTTTGGTTTTAAACCAGGGTCTCTCGCTGGTCTGGAGACTCACTGGTCACTAAATAGGCTAGGCTGGCCTGTCAGTGATTCCCTGGGATCTGCCTGTCTGCTTCCCCACTAAGATTATAAGTGCATTCCACCACACTGGCATTTTTATATGAGTTCTGGGGGTCAAACCCAGGTCCTCATTCTCACATGGCAAGCACTTTACCAACCGAACCATCTCCCCAGTTCCTGTATGTCTTTCCTAACAGTGAATTTCAAGAGCTGAGTGACAGGGCACAGGTAGGAACGAAAGTCTGAGAATGAGCATCCCAAATTCTGCTTCCCGGATCCTTGGCCTCCCACCCCACAGTCCTGTTAGGGATGTCTCAGAGCCTGATTCTGTTCCTAAGACTCCTTCCCAAGGATGGGGCAGCCTCCTCCATCCCACTCCTTACACAATGCATGGTCAGCTGAAGGGACAAATTATGCTGACCAAGACTGGGAGGTCATCCCACCCATCTGTCTTCAAGGTAGTGCATCTGACAGGCATCGGAGAAAACTGGTTCAGGGAGCGGTCTGGAGCAAGTGACGGAAGGGGCTGGTAGGTACAGAGCCTCTGCAAAGGCTCCAGATTTGTATGGCCCCCAAGCCACATCTCTAAGATTATACCTGCAAAGAGACAAAAGCCGGAGAGTCAAGCCACATAGACGGGAGTGATGGCGTTTGATGCTAGAGTCTCATTCACTCCTTCTGGGTCACACTTTCCATTTGCGAAAAGCCGCTTTATAGACCTTCCTGATGTCCACAAGGATAAGAGATAAGACAGATGAGAGAATCCAGTGCTAGTCCAAAAGACCAGCAAGCCACCACCACCACCACCCCTCACCCAGGAGAGTGGGCCAGTGTGAGTGAGGGGCTCCCTGGGGCCGGTCCAACCTCCAGCCACTCTCTCTGTGGGTGGTCTCCAGCCTACTGCTGCTTCCCAGCCCTCCCAGCTCAGGGCCAGGCTCCCGAGCACCCTGGCAGCCTTCCAGGCCTCCGAGGAATCCACTGCCTCTGCCACAGCATCATCACCACCATCGCTGCTGCTTGGAAAACGCAATTACAGCAAACAACAGCCGCTTGCCTCACTTGAGCCTCGCCAGCCACACCTGGAACTAATTAGCTTAATTAGGTCTTAATGAGCTACACTGGTCGGAAGGCCTATTTTTACTTAATTATCCACTAATGTGCTTGGCATGAAGGAGCGTGGACCTGGAGAATGGTTCGGTGGTAGCAGCGGCTGCCACCTCCCCTCCCTACCGAAGGGACACCCAGGAGGAATGTCTGTCTGCCAGGAGTGAGCCCTAAGGACTTGAGATCCCAGGAGTGGAGGCAAAGCAGGACACACACACACACACACACACACACACACACACACACACACACACACCATGCTATCTTCCTGGCTACCCTGCCTGAGGAGGGAGGGACCCAAGTCACACTGGACCCAGCTGATGGTGTGACAAGCAGGACTTTTCTATTCCAAGATCACTGTCAAAAGAGGACAAAAAGACTCAGTAATTCCTCTGTCTCCTGCGATGGGGAGGAACAGAGAGGTGAGGGGCTTGCTGGGGACACACAGCTAACTAGTGGGGGTGCAGATGAGTAACCTTTGAGTGGGCATTTTAGGAACAATGGGTAGCCAGGCCTAGAGGTGCAATCCCAGCTATTTAGGAGGCTGAGGCAGGAGGATCACAAGTTCAGGGCCTGCCTCGGTAATTTATCGAGACTGTATCTCAAAAATAAGAATTATAAAGAGGACCAGGATACAACTCAGTGACAGAGCATTTGCCTGGCATGTATGGAACCTTGGGTTCAACCCCCCCAGTATGGGAGAGTGCTTGATAGGATCTAGTGACACCCGCACATACATGTGTGCATACACACACACACACACACACACACACATAAATAAAATAAATCCTTAAGATTTGTTTTTGTTCTTTTTAAGTGTGCGTGCGTGTGTGTGTGTGTGTGTGTGTGTGTGTGTGTAGATATAAGCACATAAGTGCAGGTTCCCAGGGAAGCCAGAGAAGTTGGATCCCTGGTGTGGAAGTTACAGATGATCCAGCCACCTGGTGTAGTGACTGGGGGTTGAACTCCAGTCCCCTGGAACAGCAGTATGTGCTCTTAACAGCTCAGCCATCTCTTCAATTCCCAATAAATCTTTATTTATTTAATGTGTGTGTGTGCCTGCATATATGTTTGTGTACCACATGTCTACAGTGCCCATGAGGGCCAGAAGATGACATCAGATCACCTGAAACTGGATTGTGAGATGCCATGTGGCTGCTAGGAATTGAATCTCTGGCCTCTGCATGCCCCAGTATAGGTAAGCACACCCACCTCTACACAAACATACACACATACATACACACAAAACAGCAGGGCCAGGAGGTGGTAGCACATGCCTTTGATCTCAGCACTCAGGAGGCAGAGGAGGCAGAAGCAGGTGGATCTCTGTGAGTTCAAAGCCAGCCTGGTCTACAGATCGAGTTCCAGGACAGCTAACGATACACAGAGAAACACTGTTTTGGGGGAAAAAAAAAAGAAAAGAGCAGTTACCTCCCTATTGGCACCCCTCTTTGCCCTAGTCTTGGTCCTGCTGGAGGCCTCCAGATCACTAGCTTACTTGAATCTCTGGATTCTTGGGCTAAATGGAGACCACAGTCTTACTATAGAGCAACATGTCTCTAGCTAGCAATGAACTAAAGCCCTTGCTTCATGGCATCCCACTCTCTGGAACTCCAGACTTAAATCTGACTAGGGATTTCTCAGTACAAGCCCCAGCCACCCCCAGGCATCCCAAATCTAACATGAACAGGTCAGAAACTCCAATTTCTCAGGCATCAGCATGCTCTTCCCAGAATCCTCCTCTTCTGAAAATGGCCACACCATTTCCTTGCTTGCTCAAAGCCAGGAACCGAGGCACTGCCCTTGATCAGCCTCTGACACACACCACAGCCAGCCCACCAGAAGTATCTTTGGTCCTGCCTCCAAATAATAGCCCCAAATGTCAGGTTCCCACCACTTCCCCGTATGTACTCAATCCTCAAAATCCTCTGGCAGCTCCATCACATGCAGAATAAAGCCCAAAGCCCTTCTCCCATGCTGCTAAGTCCTAGCCTACCTCTTTCACCCAGCCCCCTACTTTCCATTCTCCTTGCCAAAGTCATGTGAGTGGTCTTTGGTACCTCAAAAGCCTTGGGGCCTTTGCACTGACTGCTCATTCTCCTAACTGGCAAAGCAGGACCTCTCAGCAGCCGACACCCCTGCCTCCGTGCCATCTGTTCCTCAGCCTCAGCATCCCTTCCAAGCTGGTCCTCACTTCCTTGGCAGGAAAGCCCATGGGAGCCATGGCAGACTGAGCTGGATGGTCAGGACCTTCCGGGGCTCTGGCCATACGTAGGCATGGGCTCTGTAGCCTCCTGTTCTCGCAAAGTGAATTTTGCCATGTAATCTCGCAGATGATGTCCTGGCCTTAATAGAAATCTGACCACATAATGGAGTTTTAATTTTGTTGACTATTGCCAGCAACCGGGATGGTCTGGTTACCCACCTGCCTGAAGGTCAGGGTCCCTGCGGAGACTGATCCAGGCAGCAATTCCCTCTGCCCTTTTGAACTGTAGGATCCCCACCTTCCTCCCATGTGGAGGCCACCTAAACCATACACACCCTTGGTGGGGATCTTTAGCATCACCTCCAGTCTGTTAGACCCCGTTCTCACCTGAGCCTCTCTCCTGTGTATGGTCAGTGACCAGCACAGTTCGGTGTGGGAGACCCTGACCTGCAGGAACAAGGCATAGGCTTGGGACTTAGCACCGGACTTCACTAGGACTTGCTGTCTGTCTCCCCACCTAAGAAATGAAGACATTGGTGCCGCTTAGCAGGAGAATCTAGGAGGCACAAGATGAGCCAGGCGGTACCCTATGAACCTTTGGTAACGTCGCTGAATTGCTGTTGAGGTAGAGATAGGGAGCTGGAGGCTTTAACTCCCCAACTAACCTCTGAGAAGATGGCATGCCCTGTGCTGTAGAAGATGGTCTTCCAAGCACAGCCATCTTCATTAGGGCAGCTGTGACTACCTGCAAGCGATCCTCGAGATGTGGCTAATGTTTCCTCATGAAAAGAAAGGGTTGGGGAAGCCACAGGCTGTCCCCTGAGACTCCAGCCACTCCTTCCTACACCTCCCTCCCAGGTGTATGTAATTCTGCCAAGCTGTGCATGGTCTCAGTCTTGGGAGGTAAAATAATGGTTCTCAGGGGTTTTAACCAGATCTCCTGCATATCAGATATTTACATTACAATTCATGACAGTAGCAAAATTACAGTTATGAAGTAGCAATGAAACTGTTTTATGGTTGGGGGTCACCACAACATGAGGAACTGCATTAAAGGGTCACAGTGTTAGGAAGGCTGAGAATCACTAGTGGAGAGTACGTGGGAAGTTAGCTGAACAGGGTACCCTATATATGCAGTCACAGGGAAGACACTATCTAAGCTGGGGTAATACTTTGGGGTAACACTCTTTGGGGGCCACCCCCACTCCTATAAATAGCCCCCCTCACCCATGTTCTCAAAGTAAGCCCAATAAACTGGTTGGACTTTAATGGAATCATTACTTTAGTCTGTTCTGATGCCTACTTGGGTTTAGCCACCCCAAGGAAAGTTCACTCAACATCCAGTGTTGGGGAGTCCCCAGCAACTCCAAGCTCCATCTTCAAGTCAGCACTACTGTGACTGCATCCACCACCTTCCCAGACTTGAGTCTCAGTCTCTCTACTCATCCAGTTAGGATACTTGACCCCATCAGTGGTGTCCCGGGGCCACCCTGGAGGAACCACAGATCTGTGGGTATGAGACAGCGGCATCTTTGAAATTGGAACCCTCTAAAAAAAGACAAGATGGGCGGTGGTGGTGCAAGCCTTTAATCCCAGCACTCGGGAGGCAGAGCCAGGCGGATCTCTGTGAGTTCGAGGCCAGCCTGGTCTACAGAGCGAGATCCAGGACAGGCACCAAAACTACACAGAGAAACCCTGTCTCGAAAAACAAAAATAAATTAAAATTAAAAAAAGGCAAGATGAGCCTGCTTGTGATAGCATTTCAGGCAGAGACCTTGAAGTCAAAGGCCCAGGCTCAGCCACACAAGGCAGGTCACAGCTGCCACTTTCCCTGGTATTCGGTTGGAGTAGTAGTACCCATAGTTGGCACAAACAGGCTTTGTCAGGGGCTCCATTTGCCCTGGAAACTATTTTCTGCCCTGGTTACTCTTCTGCCCCAGGCTATGAAGAACTGGCAGTCTCTTTCTCTCTTCTCTCTCTCTCTCTCCTCTCTCTCTCTGTCTCTGTCTCTGTCTCTCTCTCTGTCTCTCTCTCTCTCTCTGTCTCTCTCTCTCTCTCTCTCTCTCTCTCACACACACACACACACAAACACACACACACACACACACACACACACACACACACACACACACACACACACACACACACGCTGGGCACATACACAGCAACCCGCCACCACCCACCGTAGAGCAGAGGCAGCTGCTAGGCCTCCATGCTGGAACCAACAATTGAATGAGCATTTTCACAATGTCGCCTCCCGCTGACAGCTCCTAATTGCATGTTGAAGCCATGTGATGGAGCCCAAGTTACACTAATTATGTCATTACCCTAATTAAGTAAATACTGTATGTGCTAATTGGCTGAAATCTCTTCGGGGGATGGGCACTGGGAGAGGAGCCCTATGTCTCCTGGATTTGATGGGGGTGCTCTGGAAGTAAAAGACCTTCCCAAGGGTCACCTGGTGAAATTCAGGAAGGACCTTGGATGGCAGCTCTGGACAGTTGTGCCTGCACGGACTCTGGAGGAAAGTACTGACTAAGTCACCAAAGGCCCAAGTCAAAGGCTTGCCCTGGCCCCAACAAGCTAGTAGTCATGAGCTAGCCTTTTCTTTCAATAGGGTCCCTTGTTGTCCCTCATCTCACCAGCCCAGGACCTTTGGGTTTATGGTTATTCTGGGCAGAGGGGGCATCAAGAACCAAGTCAGGACCAAGCTAGCCGTGAACTAGTGTCCATCTTAGAGACCCAGTTATATGTTAGTCTGGAAAGCAAGAATGAGTTAAACTGATGAGCAAGCCAAGACCCAGTTGCTAGAGATAAAAAGCAAGGTGTGCTAGCAAAGAGAATGGCTAGGGCCGACAATCCCAGGAAGACGTGTGAAGCAGGGTGTTCTGAAGAAGTCTAGAGGGTTTCTGGGAAGAGCCTTCACTACAAGGCAGGGAGAAAATCAGAATACCCAAAGTCAGATCATCTTCAAGCTGTGATTTCTAAATATGAAACTCCTTTTATTATTGTTGTTGTTGTTACTGTGTGCATGCAAGCGCACATGCACGCATGCATACCTTCCTACAAGGAGGTCAGAAGACAACCTGTGGAAGTTGGCTTCCTGATCACAGGTTGTCAAGCATGGTGTCGATGCGTTTTCCAGTGAACCATTCCACAGACCCCAATACAAAACTTCTTTGGATAGAAGTTGGAAGCAGCCATCTGAAGTAAGAGGACATTAGAGTTGTAACAAGAGTGTCACCCCTGAAGCTGAGTATGGTGGTACATGCCTCTAATCCCAGTACTCAGGAGACCTAGGCCAGTTTACGCTACAGAAGGAGACCCTGTCTCAAAAAAAAAAAAAGCCAAAAACCAAGACATAAGAGCTGGGGCCTCCATCCAGCCACTCAAAGTAAGTGAGCATGGGCCAAGTGGCCCTGTGCCTGCCCTGTCCTTCATGGGGTTGTGGGAAGGGGCCCAGAGTTAAGGGCTAGGGCAGACCTCCAGCAGCTTCCCTCCTACCTCAGGGCTAGCTAGACAGTATCTGCCTCTCAAGTGTGCCCAGGTGCTTTGGCATGGCCATTCACTCTCACAGCTCCACTCCGCCTGCCTGCCTGCCTGCCTGCTTGCTTGCCTGCCACCATCTCCGAAGACATATGCTACAGCTCCACACCCAGGAAATACCACATGCTCGCTTTCTGCTGGGCAGACCTCCTTCCCACTCAATCGCTTCCCTCCCGGGACTACAGCCCCAGCACAGCTCATCCTACCCCAGCCAGGTCTCAGGATCCCAGTAGGTGATGTCCCTTCATTCATTCACTTCATTCATTCCACACAACAGGATCTGCGCTCCACAGGTGTGGCTCCAGCATAAAAGACAGAGTCATTGAGCCATCCTTTAAAAGTCGGCAACTTATTTAACCAACTGGAGTAGGGATGGGAGGATGTACGAATGCACAAATGGCAAACCTATAAAGAAAAAGAAAACGGAGAAGAATGCTAACAGTTGAATAGTAAGAATAGTTGAAAAGTGCAGAGACGGCTCCATGGCTAAGAGCACTGGCTGCTCTTGCAAAGGACTTGGGTTTGATTCCCGGGACCATGTGACAGCTCATGACCATCTGCAACTCCAGCTCTAGGGATCTGTTACCCTCTTCTGGCCTCCATGGACACCAGTCACACACATGCTTCACGGACATCCATGCAGGAGCTGTCATTTAAAAAATCAAAATAGAGCCAGCTGTGGTGGCATGCACCTTTAATCCCAGCACTCAGGGGCTGGCAGATCCCTGTGAGTTCGAGGCCAGCCTGGTTTACAAAACGAATTCCAGGACAGCCAGGGCCATTCCATGGTGGGGGGGTGGGAATCAAAATAATTTAACAAAAAAGAATAGTTGAATAAGCTGACACAATGTGCCTTGTGTCTATAATGCCAACACTGGAGAAGCTGAGGCAGAAGAACCACTGCAAGTTCAAGGCCAGCCTCAGCTACATAGCAAGTACCAGCAAAGCCTGGGCTACAGAGTGTGACTCTGTCTCAAAAAAAAAAAAAAAGTTAAATATATAAATATATACCCCCAAGGACATATGGGTGTCATTCATACTATTCTTATTCTGGCCACTTTAAGTTCAAAATAATTCTTAAATAAAAAGTAGTTTAAAATACCAGGCATAATTGTGCATGCCTGTAGGCTAAGGCAGGAGGATTGCAATTCAGCCTGGACTGCATAGGGAGTCCCAGGCCAGCCTAGCTACTTAGTAAGTTCCAATCTCCAATAATAATAACGATGGCGATGGTGGTGATAATAAGGACTGTGATGGTCAGGAGCTGGAGAAGGGGGTCCGTAGGTAAAGTGTTTACTGGGTAAGCATGAAGATAGAATTCAGATCCCCAGGATCTGAATGAAAGCCAGCTGTGGCTGTGAGCCAAGCATCCCTGCAACTGGGGGACAGAGACAGTGAATCCAGGGACTTGCTGGTCAGCCAAGCAAGCCAAAAAGGTGAGGTTCAGTAAGACTCTGTCTCAAAAAAAAATAGGTGGGGAAGCCGCTGGAGAAGACGTGCCAGAGTAAACCACTCATCATATGCGTCCACGTGGGTGGGAGCATCCCCACACACATGCACACATCCATGCACCACACACAAGGACTGGGGATGTAGTTCAGTGGTAGCATGCTTATCTAGCATAAGCAAAGTCCTGGGTTCCAGCCCTAACATTAAAAATTGTTGTTGTTGTTCTTGTTGTTGTTGTTGAAGTAATGAGAAAGGAAGAAAAGTCTTTTCCTTTCTAGGGGCTCCAGGTCCCTGGAAAAGACTTTTGTGATAGCCCAGTGATGTGACCCTGCTGGGTGAAGCTTGAGGGCAAACTCTCCCCCCAATCACCACCATAGCTATACATGCTCCACCCCCTTGCTCCAGAAAATGACTATGAGGAATCTCAGGGTGGACAAGAGGAGAACTTTCTTCGGTGGGCAGGTCCAGAAGGAAAGGCAGCTGGAGCTCCTGCACTTCAGAGCCCTGCGCTTCAGAGGAGACCTGATTGCTCTCCCCGCTCCCACCTCCACCAGCACTAACACATCCTGAGTCCAGCCGGCCAAGGCAACTTTCCCAGGCAGGGGCCTTGCCTGTCACATCTTGGGCAGCAAGAGGGTCACAGCGAAGACCATCAGTTCACCTTTCTGCATTAGGCAGTCCAAGAAGTACATGGGGTGGAGTGGGAGCTTCAGGTGGGTCTGTGAGGAAGCGCTCTGTGTCCACTCCTCACTGCCTCTTCCCCCGCTCGGGTTCCCAACACTCTGCCTCCTCCATAGGCCCACCGTCCTCTGCTCCTCCCATAGGGCCCCTCGGACCCCCTCCCGATGAACTGTCTCCTCCCCCTCCCCATCAAAGGCAGCGACACCAGCATCCTGATGTGTGGTCAATTGTGGAGTGTGGGTTCGGGTGTTCAGAGCTCCCAAGGAAAGGGAATCCTGCCTGTTCCCCCAGACCCTGGACCTCGAGGGGCCACTCCAGCCTGGGCAGCCAGAGTGAACCTGCCTGTGTGATCAGGACACTCCTGTGTACGCTCAGGGCTGGGGCACCTGCGGTCAGTAGGGGTCCTACGCCTCCCCTCAGACACCTTTGTTCTCAAGCCTTTGTGGCTGGCCCTGGCCTCCCAAGCCAGCCCACCAGCCCTTGTCCTTTGCCTGGCAGGTCTCTCTCCCAGCCATCCCCCCCTTTCTTGCATAGCTTTTTACCCATTCAAGTCTCAGATCAGAACCTGGCATGGGACGGGGTGGGACCCCTTCACTCACTGCAGCCCTTCCTCCCGCAATGCTCCCTCTTCTGCCCACATCCCCTTACTAGCCCCACTCCCCTCACCCTGCTCTTGCTCCCCGCCCCTCTCTCCTCTCGGCCTGGCCCCCTCCCCATTTCCTCTCCCCTCCTTTCTTGGCCCTCCAGTTCGGGGAGTCGGGCTTTCTCTCGGCAGGGGCAGTGGCGGCTCGTTGTCCTCCCCTCTCTCCTCACCCTCTCCCTTCTCTCTTCCCCCCTCCAGCCTCCACTCCTCACTCCTCGCCTGCTCACTCACCCTCTCCCTCTCCCGCTGCCCCCCCTCTTTCTCCCCCACCTCTTTGTTTCAGCTGAGAACCGGCTCCTCGGGACAGTTCCCACACTGCAGTGCCTCTGGTGAGGAGACAGCGCCACTGAGGTAAGCTGGGGGTTCGGGGACACAGGCGCGGGGCAGCCGAAGCCCTGGGGGCGGGCAGGTGGGGACAGTGGGTAGCCCGGGCCACATCACTTCTCTGCCCAGGGCAACGGAAGCAGCAGAGTGCTAGCCGCAGGTGCCCTACCGGTCAGCAAGAGCAGGGTGGAGGGAGAGGGCTAGCAGGGAGCTGGCAGGCTGTCCTTGCCCTGGTACCCAGCTCCTGATGATGGCCCAAGACTGAGGGAGACCCTCCCGGGACCCGACAGAGTGAAGGAGGAGGCTGGGACACCCAGAACAGCGCACCCCTGAAGGTCTGAGTCTACGCCCAGTCCTCCCTGCCTCTAGCTGAGCTGCAGCTTGGAGATTGCCAGGGGGCATCAGCCGCACTGACCGCCTTGTGACCCTCACAAGTGCCTGTCCCCGGGTTGGTTGTGGGTCGGAATGTGCTGGGGCTGTTCCTACTGCCCAGGTAGAGGGGGCGGGGCAGAGCTCTCTCCCCTATCACCAGCTCCCAGGAATCCTCCAAGCTATTGACCCCGAGACTCACAAAGCCATAGGAAACCGGACATCTTTCCCTTCTCCGCGGGTCTCTGACCAGCTCCCGTCCAGACAGGGTGCCCAGGACAGCATTCCCCAGAGTTGCAAACAGCATCTGAGGCCAGGGAACAGATGTTCCTGCAATTGGCTCGCTGGGACTGGGAGAGACAGAAAGGTATCCGGCTCTGTGGGAGGGGTGGGGTGAAGAGGTGGGAAGCAGGTGGAGACAGAGCCCTGCCTCTTGAGGGAAGCTACAAGTGCACTTTCTGGGACAACCTGGAGCCACCGGAAGGAGCTAAGAGCCTAAAGCTGGGTGGGGGGTAGGAGTAGACAGAAGAGACAGGGGCTGAGGCGCCCGGGCCCCCTTCTCAGCTGGGGCTCCAGTCGGAGGCAGGGCTGGCTCTGACTGGGACCAAGTCTGAAAAGCTCATAGTCCCAAGTGCTGTCTCTGCTGGTTGCAGGAGAGCCAGAAAAGGATAGGAGAGCGGTGACCCACAGGGGACCTTCCCAATGGGGTGCATTCTGAGGGAAGGTCTCAGGCTGCCTGTTTGGGGTAGGACCAGATCCCACCCAGTGCCAATAGTGGACCAGATCACGAAGGTGGAGCCGATCCCATGAGTTCTAGTTACTAAGGGTGGTGGCCTAAGGACTGAGCACCTAGGGCACACATTTACAGACGCCACCTCTCCCTCCCCCTTGACCAGAATTGCATTTTAGTAGGTAGAACAGCAGCTGCTGCCACTGATTCTCCCAGCACTACACCCGGACGGAGCTGGTGTAGCTGCTATAGACCAAATAGCCACGTTCGGCCCACACCCTCCAGCCACCACAAGCCAGCCTGGGCCAAGGTGGAGGAGGGTAAACAAAGCCTCAGGACCGGCCTGAGTGGTTTCCTAAGAGGCTTGATTGACCCTTAGGCATCCCTGCCTCTTGGAGAAAACTACCCCTCCCAGGCTGGCACAGCTCTGTCTTCTGTGGAAGTCTACCTAAGTCATTGGGGTCAGGGCTCACCCCTCCACCCATGTGCACAGGCCATCTCCTCCCCTAGCATACTCCAAATCTTCTGATCCAGCCTGGGGCCAGGCCAGCAGTCCCTCCCTAATCTGGGCCTATGTTCCTCATACATGAACCAAACTCAGAGGGAGGCAGGCTTCCCTGCCTTTTTTTCTGAGACATAAGAGGACCATCGTCCTGCTAGACAGGCAGCTGACTCTAGCTCCAGCTAGCCCTTCTCAGCTCCTAGACCATCCATAACTCCAATACCATCCCTGAACTGAGGGATAGCTCAGTGACAGGCACTCCCAAACACGAACACACTAAGGAGAAGGAACTGGAGATCTAACTCGGCTGGTAGAGTACTCAGCCAGCACTCAGGAGGCCTGTGTTGGATCCCCAACACCACATGAAACTGTGATGATGGCACACATTTGCAATCCCAGGACTCATGAGATAGAGAAAGGAAGATAGAGAAATTCAAAGTCATCCTTGGCGACATCTCAAGCTCAAGGCCAACCTGAGCTACATGAGACGCTGTCTTAAAAAAAAGAAAAAGAAAAAAGGCTGGCTAATGCCATTCTAATGTCAGAGGACAGAGGTGGCAGGTGGCTTGCTTGGCTTCAGGCCATGAACACCAATGTCCTGCTGGTTCTAATCTTGGCCCCTTCTGGCAAGAAGGGGGCCTCTCTAAATTGAGATCTCTTTACACGTATCTTTGGAAGATACTAGTATCTAGAATTTTTTAACAGATGTTTAAAGACTTATTTTTTATTTTATGTGCATAAGTGGTTTACCTGCATGTATGTATGTATGTATGTATGCGCATCACATGTATGCCTGGTGCTCACAGAGACCAGAAGAGAGTGTTGGATCCCTGGAACTGTAGTTACAGACAGCTGGAACTGCCATGTGGCAGCTGGACACTGATCTCAGGTCCTCTGGAAGAACAGCCATCTCTACAGCCCGTCTATCTAGCCCTTTTTTCCCCCTTTCTCTCCCTGAGCTTCCTGTTTGCATGGAGCTTTCGCATATGGATCCACCTGCTGCTGCTAACCCCGCCCCACCAGAGAAGAGCAGGACACAAACACTGTCTCCATCAGAAAAAGGAGGAAAGACAGGTTAACAGGCCAAGACAGGGGCCTGGGACCTGAATCCCCCTCTAATGTGCCTTCCAGGCCACTGAAGTGCCACTCCAGTGAGATTTTATAGGAACAGAGACTCTCCATACCCTCTAATGGACGCACTAACTGTCCAGTCTCTCCACCTCCCACATCCTCACGGCACTGACGACATTCCCAAGGACAGAGGGGCTCATTTATTCCCAAGGATGTTTGAACCGGGGCTTTCATCTTGATTCCAAAGTGGGCATCTAAAGAGTTGCCAATGAATGGGTGTGGTGGTACCTTTAATCCCAGCACTTGGGAGACAGAGGCAGATGGATCACTCTGAGTTGAAAGCCAGCCAGGGCTACATAGTGACCTGGTCTCAAAAAAAAATAAATAAGTAAAAACAGAACAGAGCTGCCAGGGCTAAATGAAGGCTACAGGACTGAGGCCATAAGGAGCTTGTAAAGGTGAGGAAGGAAGAGAGGAAGTGCTGGAAGCCACATGGTGTGTCTCTCCCCCTGGAAGCCTCCTACCTCCTCACATACCTTCCTCCCCTGCCCTCTCCCATCAATCCTGCCACATCCTCTTGGTATCACTTCCTGCTAAAATCTCCATGAACCTCGCCTCTGTTATCAAAGGAAGGTTCACTCCCCCAGTCAGACCCACAGGGCTCTTTACCATCCCACCTCTGCCAAGCTTTCAGGTCTCGGTGCCCACCACGTTCCACAGCATCCCCAACATTCTAACCACACCAAAAGCCTGCACCTTGGAATGGAGCAGTGTGGAGGCCTGCTCAGTGGCTGGTCGGAGGTTGCATTGGACACACACTCCTACACATGCACACTCAGGTGTATGCACACCTTTATGTAGAAGCCCACCATTCACATGAATGGGATTTCCTACCAAATCCCTCGTCACGATGCCCTTCCATCCACAAAGAGACCAAGAAATCTGCTTTTACAGATCCCTGAAGAGGCTAAGTGTGGTCACAGGACCATCCTCAAACCCCTGAGAGGCAACAAGGAAAGGAAAGGTACATCCCCTAACTCCGCTGAGCCTTGGGTTGGCCCCAGGGTACCTGAGCCCCAAAGGGCAGCAGAGAATGACTCAGGGGTCCAAAGCAGGTTCTCAGTCTGGATCTGTGACTAACTTCCTCTATCTCCCAGACAGACCACCTTCTCTAATTCTCCAGCTTTAGGACAAATGGGTTTAGAGAAGCTGACCCCAAAAGGCTCTCCAGACCCACAGCTCATGCCAGCTGCAGACAAAGAGGAGTTTTTAGTGTAAAGAAGAGTTGGGCACCCTCATGGAAAAATCCTCTAACCACGGAAAGTATCAGCACATGAAGATGAAATGGGAATTTGGGCACCAAAAAACTGAGTCAGGAGAGCTGGCAGCCAAAAACCAAAGAAGGGGAGTGCCTTCACTAATCCATAATTGATAAGACTTGTGTGTATTTAGCCATTCATTCATTTATTTTACTTTTCAGTGCTGGGAACTGAACCAGGGCTTCACACATGCTAGAACAGCAAGTACCATTGACTATATTCCCAACCCTCTTTTTAAAGCTCTTTGAAATGGGAATCTCACTTAATTGCCTAGGCTGGCCTTGAATTCTCTCTGAAGCTCAGGCTAGCCATGAATTCTCAGTCCCCCTGCCTCTCAAGTACTCTGGGATATATAGGCCTGTGCCACCAGGCCCAGCTACATAACTGACATTTATGGAGGAAAAAAAAAGTCCTATCAAGCACTAACTATGAGGAATCTGCATATTTTTATCATCTAGACTGACCAAATAGATAGGCGAGCAAGTACAATGAGTTGGGTCCACCAACAGTTTGCTCTAAGGGGTCCAATTCAGACCCTGGCCCCCAGACTCTGAAAACACAGGGACAGGAAAGGGACAAAGGTAGACAAGGGGGCTCCAGCAAGACTCTGCCCATGCGTAAAGCCCTCGGCAGGCAATGGCGGCAGCCATACCCACAAGCAACCCCACTCTGAAAAGCACCTGCGGGGGCACCACAGAGGCATTCTGACACCAGTGTCCCCGCTCACATGCTCACCACACAAAGACACTGAGGATGTGGCCGACAAGTCCTTGGTCCCCAGCCCTCTTCTCTCGAAGCTCTTTGCCTGCAACTTGGTGTCCAACAGGAATACATTCCCAAGGTCAAGGACACAGAGGCAGGACACCTCTCGTGGAAGCCAGAACACCAGTGTAAAGACAAAATCCCCTGAGACTTTGACCCTCTCCACCAGGAAAGAAAATGGTACACACCACTCCTCTCTCCTAAACCTCTCTGGTCCTCAGAATCAGCTTGCCTTGTTTATCTCCCTCCTGGTCCCTGGAACATGCAGGATCTAGGTCTCCAGGTCATGGCCCAACTGCTAGCCAGACTGTCCAGAGCCCATGGAGAAGGGCAGCTCTACCCAGGACACGTCAGCTCTGCACACCTAGAGCCCCGCACACCCTCACAGTGGAAGGGCCCATAGGAGCAGCCCCAGGCCTCACTGTTCTCTATGGCTTTTTATTCCTATGTGATTCTGTTGCTCACTCATATAGGGATTGGAGCCGTGGCGTACGGTGAGGATAGCCAACGGAGGGCTCTGATACTGAGTAAGAAGGCTCAAGGGGAGCCAGGCCAGTGGCTGCAGGCCAACCCAAGGGACTCACCTCTGACAGCTGTAACAGGAGGGGGTGAGAGAAGGCTGAACTCCTTCACTGCTCCGACCTACCATTCGAGTCCTGGAGACAGGTACTGAATGCTGGCACCAGGACCCCAACTGTGTACCCAGAACACATGGGACATGGCGTGTATGCTGCATGGCATGTTTAGCCTGGGAAAATGGGACTGGCAAGAGAGAACAAGCCTAGTGTCCTGCAGCCTGAAGAGACCACTTGATAAAGAGTGGGTAAGATAAAGGAGGAAAGCTAAGAGTAGTCCAAATGCTGAAGGAATATCCTTGGTGTCAAGTAGAAAATTTCCACCCAGCCAGGCTACAGTAGGAGAGGAGAAACCATGGCCAGGTTGCCACAGGGAGGCGTGGTTGAATAGGTAATAATCCTTAAACCCGTCCTGCTCACCCACATTGAGGCTGCTAGGAGCCGTATTCAAGCCTCCCAGATTCCCATCAACAGACCCTGAGTATGCCCAGCGGAGAAGCGGGTGAGAAACTCTGTGAGATGCCGGCAAAATTGCTAGGAGCACACCATGCTCCCCTCCCCAGCGGCTACCCGAAGCCCTGCACTAAAGAAATACTGAGGACAGTGAGCTGAGACCCCCCACAACATCCTTCTTTTTATTTTCAGGCTCCCTGACTTCACTCCACGGAAGAAGCAGGCTGAGGACTGGGGCAGATGGGGAGAAAATAAAGACTAGGAACTGGCCGAGGAGCTTCCTGTGGGCCTCAGGGCTACCTGCTGACATGACAGGAAGTAGGGGTGGAAAGGAGCCCTCGTCTTCTGGTCTAGTTGGGGAATGGATATGGAGCCGATCTGTGGGAGGTGGGTGGAGCAACAGGAAGCCAGGCTAAGAGGACAGGGATCCTAAAGCACAGTGAGGCCCTGGTGACAAGCCCATGATCTTCCCACGAGATCCTGCCCATAATTACCCATATACTCTCAAAATAGGAGCTAGGCCGTCACTGAGGACAAAAAATCAGGAGGTGGACATCCATGACATTGGTCCCTGTCAACCCTGTCTGCAGCAAGTGTGTTCCACCCTGGAAGCGGCAAAAGAAGGTGTACGAGTCGTTGTGGGAAAGGAAGGTGGCTATGTCCAGGCCTTCAGCAGAAGCCTGGCTGACAAGATCAGACATGACCCAGGCCCCAGCCACCTTGGTAGGCCCATCCTGCCCATCAGTGCCTCCACTCAAAAAGAGCACATCAACGGGCCCCAGTGGCTGTCTTCCCAGCTCTGTTCCCACATGCAGGGCCAGTTCTTGGTTCCGGCCACCCTTGCCAGAGCCCTGCAGCTGCACCGTGGGCTCACCACCAGCCAGGAGGCAGACTGGGCCGTTAGCCTTTGCCACCGCTTCCAGAGCCTCCCCCAGCTGCAGGTCTGGGAGCCGGAGCTCAGCTGCCAGCTGATGGAGTTTTGCCTCCTCCTCCTCCTCCAAGGAACGACCAGCCGTGGATGGAGCGAGGCGGGCTGCAGCCACCCGGGCTAGCAATCCATAGAACCGGGCCACATTTTTTACATCGCCCTGAATGGCTGTGCTCAGCACCAGGGCATGGTAGCCCAGGGCCTCAGCCTGCCTCTGAGCCTCAGCCAGAGCCAGAGAATTCGAGCCGATGATCACATTGAGGACATGACCACAAGTGTGTGGCCCGCGGGGGTCAGAGTCAGCTCGAGAGAGCACAGTCTTCACGGAACGTGGCAGAGCTGCACGAAGGCCATAGTGATTAAGAATATGCAGGCAATCTTGCACGCTGTGGGAACTGGCCACGGTAGGGCCACTGGCGATCACCTCCAAAGGGTCCCCAATCACATCTGACAAGATGAGGCTCACCACCTAGACAAAGGCCATAAGATAAGGTTCAGTCTTGACTCCTCCGCGCCCCGGGGGCCCTTAAGGACAAACTGGTCCTGGGTGTACACCCCTTGGTGCGCTGCTTTGCCGGCATTTATCTGCTTCTTGCCTCTTGCAGGTGGACTGGCAGAACACCGACCAGGGAGCATCCCTCTCGCCCTCTTTGGCCTCCTCCCAGGACTTCCCCGACGGGCAAGGCCCCTGACAACGTGTATGTTGGCCTAAGCTTTCCTATCCCTGTCCCATGTGGGGAACCCAGGGCTGGCTGAAAGAGTGATAAATGCACCTGAGCAGGATAGGCAGCCTGAGCCAGCCCTCCACCCTTCAGCTGGGACAGGGCCTTCCGGATGGTGTTCAGCTCCTGAATTGTGGCTCCACGGGCTGCCAGCAGCTTGGTGAGCGTCTGTTTCTCCTCCAGTGTGACAGGTGGGATGGGAGCAGGCAGCAGGGCTGAGCCCCCACCTGCAGTCAGTGAGGGTGTCAGGAAGAAGAGAAGGGAACCAGGTAGACCGCAGGGGAGGGGGACGAGGACTAAGACGGTGGAGTTAGAGTGCCCCCCTGTGGACATGGAGTGAAGCTGTCCCCTAGCTGGGGTACTCTAGACCCCAGAAGATGCTAGAGGGGCTGGGGATGTAGCTCAGTAGTAGAGTGTTTGTCTAGTCCGTGTGAAGCCCTGAACTTGATCCTCAGCACCACAAAAATTATATTTTTTTAAAAGCATAGACTAAGGAAGAGCAAGAAAAACACAGCAGACAACCCAAGAGAGTGCTGTGGGGGCTGGAAACCCAGCTCGTGGAGCCTGGGTGACACTGCTGCAGACAGAAACGTTTTCCAAAGGTTCTGACATGTGTTAGCGTGTTAGTGTGCCCTCACCATCACAGCTCAGGACAGATGACTACCCCTGACACCCCCCGCAAGGTACCCTCTCAGCTCCTCACTGTCTGTCCTGGTCCCAACTTCACCCTGTGACCACGGTGGCTCAGATGAACGTCTCAAGGATCTGGTATTTGGGGCATCCCCCTGTGAGCTGTTCTCAGCTGATCTGGAACCCACACCTGAGATGAGCACAAGCAGCAGGTCGTTGGCTGTGAGCCCCTCTGCCAGCTGCTGGATGGCCAGTGCAGCCCTCAGAGCATCACGATCCGGCAGGTTGTCCTCCGCACCCTCAAACACCTGGATGTGGCTGTGCAGCTTCAGCAGCATCTCTCTGAGGAGGGAGCAAACAGGGACGGGATGGGGTGGGCTCCTCTCCTCCCACCTGACTTCTCAGCTGTCCATCAGGGAGAGTGACTTGAGTGAGGTTGCCCACCCACCAGGCCAGATAGGGAGGCCTAGGAGGAAGAGAAGTTTTCCTCTAAAGGGCAGAGGAGAGCACCCCACCACCAATAGATTCTTACTGCTTTCCAGCCTGCTCCATAGCAGCTCGGATCCCCTTGGGAACGCTGATCACACCCTGCACAAGATGCTGGCCCAGTAGCTCCTCAGCTGCAGCTGCCATGCCCAATACAGCCTTGCCGAAGCCCACTAGGTAGAGGTTTTCATGTAGCTGAAAGCTCCGATCCCGCACCTTCAGTTGTTTGCCACTCGGATCCAAGGACAGTGCCCTTTGCAGCATGGGGCCCGGCTGCACAGCGCCCACAGCACTCTCAAACAGCTGCCGTGCCTGTTCTGCCAAGGCCATACCACTGGTCATCCGGGCCACTGGGGGCCCCCAGAGGAATGGGCGTGATGGGGCTCGGAGGAGACAGGGCAAGATCTGTAGGGCTGCAGCCATGCCCACATCTCTCAGCAAAGCCTTGTATCCATAGCTGCCTAGAGAGAGAGGAGAATGAGTGAGACCACAGACAGAACCCTACCATCATGGGTACCCCTCTGAGAGCTCAGGGCTGGTGGACTCCATAGCCATTGTTGCAAGAACGAGCCACCTGAAATGAAAGCTGAAGAATTCATGAAGCCTGCAGCGAACCTGATCCTACTCCAGTCCTGCAAGCCCAGCCCTGATGCCCAGCCACGTCCTCTTCTGCAGGCCACACACCGGTCTTCTAGACACTCTGCCCCAAGTCCAAAGTTCCTAACAAGTGGACCCTCCTCCTGGGTCACCTCCTTTGGCTGGGAGTTAATCATTCACAAAGGAAGCAATTCCTCCCAGTGGTCTCCTGCACCACTCTTATCCACATCCTTCACTGCCAAGCCCTCACACCACGGCAGGGCTCCTTTCTGGCATTTCTGCCTTACCTTTTTACCACTTCTACTGCCAAAAGAAAGAAACAGAAAGGCTGTTGGTTGTCTCACCAACTGACCCCAAGCCCACTGACCTCTAGCTTGATCTATTTCATTAGCTCCTAAGACTAGTCTGGGAATGCTGAGTCTATGTAGAAAAGCTACAGGCTTATCAGTGCACATAACCCAAGGAATCTCAGCACTCAGAATAGTTCAGCGAGAGGTCCAGGCACAAATCAGGAGTAGCTACAAAATCTGACTCAAGGTGAGACCTTTGGCAAGTCCCCAGTTCATATGCAAGAGGACGTGCACTATGGGGCTCAATCTACAGCGTAAGAAAAGATGCCCTTCTACCCACACAGCTGGGCAGGGTCAATCTTGCCAGGAACACCCCTTTCTGGCTCCATGATAGCAAAACAAGCCCTGAGTTACACCACTCAGAGCAGAAACAGCCCAGTGCTGGAGCAGGCAAAGGCCAGGCTCCTAACTATGCCCAATCATTTTCCACACTGGGCAGAGTGAAAAACAGAAAGGTCTTGGGGTAAAGGTCAGGATGTTATACAGGGTAAATATGGGGACAACAAAGCCAAAGGACTCATCATACCTTTTGGGTATCTAAATCTGAGGACAGAGAAGTACTGGAGACCAAACCCATGTTTTGCATGTGACAAGTATGCACTCTACCACTGAGATACATTAAAGCCCCTAAATAAGATAGTTACTATAATAAAATGCCTACCATTATGCTGAAAGACAACTGCATCAGTAAGTGTGGATACAAGAGGAAGTAGTCTAGGAATTGCGATGCTAGTTTTTGTTTTTTGTTTTTTTTTTTGTTTTGTTTTGTTTTTTTTTGGTTTTTCGAGACAGGGTTTCTCTGTGTAGCTTTGCGCCTTTCCTGGAACTCACTTGGTAGTCCAGGCTGGCCTCGAACTCACAGAGATCCGCCTGGCTCTGCCTCCCGAGTGCTGGGATTAAAGGCGTGCGCCACCACCGACAGGCAGCGATGCTAGTTTTTTTAAAGTGTGTAGTATATCTTTTCTCAAACTGAGTTCATTTGCAAGATGAGAGGTGGGATGAAATTAAGCCCTGAGAATTCCTTATATGAAAACCGGACATGTTTACAGACGACCCACAGCCGGAACCCTATGTATTCTTTTTTACAACACAGCTAGCATTTTTTTTTTTTAACTGTGAACTACACGGCCACATGGCACAGGTCTAGAAGTGGCATGTTATTTAGGAGTGGGATAAATTGCCGGGCAGTGGTGGCACACGCCTTTAATCCCAGCACTTGGGAGGCAGAGGCAGGCAGATCTCTTTTAGTTCAAGGCCAGCCTGGGCTACCAAGTGAGTTCCAGGAAAGGCGCAAAGCTACACAGAGAAACCATGTCTCGAAAAACCAAAAAAAAAAAAAAAAAAAAAAAAAGGAGTGGGATAAATTGTTAACTGGAGGGTTTTTTTTTTCTTTTTTAATCTCTTGCATTGGACAGAGCATCAGAAAGCCTGAAGTGTCTGGCAAACAAGTTATCAGCCCTCCACCACTATGGAGGAGTCCATGACTTCATACATGATAGGGATGGTCTCTCCCACAGAACTACACTTTTCAAGTTCCAGGGCTTGGAGCTAAATGCATCTTTGCATCTAAAACATACAATGCTCAGCTGCAGGTGAACTTTTGTCTATCTCACAGAGGAGCAAAGCCTAGAAGATCCCTAATAGAACCCAGGACAAAGGAATGCTCAAAGCCAAAGTTGCCAGATAAAATGCAGGACATTTGGTGAAACTTCTACTTCGGATAAGTAATTTTTTAGCATAAATATGATCAGTACATTTGGGATTATTTGTAACTAAAAATTACGTTGTGGCGAGTTTAAATTTAATTGGACGACTTTCATTTTCAGTTGCCAAATCCCCAACTCTATTTAAGACACTACACCTCTCTAGCTCCTGTGCATTCCGGTTGCTAAGTGAGGAAATGCGAAGACCAGCCTTGGCTCCTCCCGGAACAAAGTGGAGCTGACCTCACATCCGGATTTGGCCAGTCGCCAGGTGACCGGAAGTGACGTCGCCCGAGGCTAATGGCCTGTAATCTTCGCGAGAGAAATTATGCTGCACGATACTAGGTGTCGCAGGAAGTAAGGGGCTGCTGTCGCCTGGATTCGCCTCCGTCTGGGCCAGGAATGATTTCCAAGGTCCATGTACGTCCTTGAGATGCAAACTTACCTTTCTGCCGCTTCCAGCACTGGAAACCGGAAGTGCTCTGGTGGGTGGGGATTAATCCGGAAATGGCTGGTCTGGGGCTTCCCTAGAGAACAGGATCGTGGGTTAAAACTTGCGTGCCTCGCTGACCTCCAGAAAAACTGAAAAGAGGTGTATGGAGTCCTCCGGTTTCTACATTCCTGCAGTGGATTCTCAGTGATTTGTAATGATCCTTCCCTCTTCATCCTGTTAGATATAGTCAGTCATTAAATACACCCCGAATTCCTGTTAGGTGCCAGACTCCAGGCTGAACCATCAGATTTAGGGTCATCCTTGCTCCTCCGCATAGTTACAATTCTTTGACAATTCATTGATGTTTACCACTCTTCTCCATGAGCCACCATATACAGCTAATTCAGTGAAGTATTTCTGTTCCATGATCTTTGAACACAAGGGCAAACTGCCTGTAAACAAAAATGACCCTGAGCCTTCTTCCTCCCTACCCTTGCCCTCACCTTGTGTCCACTATGACCCAAGCGTGATGCCTTCCCACATTCAAAAATCAACTATTGGCTGGACTCCAAAAACACCAGAGTACACTTTTTTTTTACTGATGGAAAGGATTTCTTCAAACATGTTTCCTTAAAAAGTTTGGTTTTTGCCCTGTTGCTCACCACACACACACACAGGGACAAACTGTGTAGCCTAGGCTGTCTTCCTTCAAGTTCATGATCCCCTTGCCTCTGCCTCCTGAGTAACTAAAATCGCGGCATGTACTACTGTGTAATTGAGAAGCTTAATCACCCACCCACCTGACATTCTAAATTTCCTTGCTTCTTGACACTTAGACTACTCAGCAACGTCTCTTTTCCTTTTGCAACTCTTTAAGACATTGCTGTTCCATGTCAGTCTGGTCCACCCAGCGGGAAGAAGAAAGAAGAAGAAAGGAGGAAGGGAGAGGGAAGGAAGGGAGGGAAGGAGGGAGGGGGCTGGGGAGGTGGGGAGCTGGAGAGATGGCTCAACAGTTAAGAGCACTGACTGCTCTCCAGAGGACCTGGGTTCAATTCCCAGCACCCACATGGCAGCTCAGAACTGCCTGTAATTCAGGTTCCAAGGGACATGGCACCCTCACACAGACATACATGCAAGCAAAAACACAATGCCCATAAAAATAAATCTTAAAAAGAAGAAAGGAGGGGGGTAAAAGGAAATTCCAGGTTCTGTTTGTACGCAGGGCAATAGAAATATAAGAATTAAGTCAACTCAATACCATTCAGGAGTTTACAGTCCAATGGGTTTAATCTTCTTGCTGTTAAAAGCATCTTGTGAATAGTTTGGGGATGGCAATGGAATATTAAAAAATGGCTACAGGAAAATGGGTACAGGGAGCTGGAAAGATGGTTCTGTGGTTAAGAGCACCTGTTGCTCTTGTAAAGGTCTTGGGCTCTGTTCCTAGCACCCAAAGGGTTTACAGCTATCCAGAGCTCCGGTTCCAGGGAAGCTGATGCCATCTTCTGACCTCCTCAGCCACCAGGCATTCATGTGGTACACATACATACATGAGGCAAAGCATTTATACACATAAAGAAATCTTTTTAATTTTTATTTTATGTATGAGTGTTCTGCATATATACCTGCACTCCAGCAGAGGGCATCAGATCCTATAGATGGTCATAAGCCACCATGTGGTTGCTGGGAATTGAACTCAGGACTTCTGAAAAAGCAGCCAGTGCTCTTAACCCCTAAGCCATCTCTCCAGCCCAAGAAATCTTTTTTAAGAAAATGAAGACAGGGCTGGTAATGTAGCTCAACTGATAGAGAGCTTGTTTAGCATGCACAAGCCTTGGGTCTGGTCCCCAGCATCATATAAAACAGTGTTTATGGTACATGCCTAAATCTCAACATTTAGAAATCAGGCTCTCAAAGTCATCCTTGTCTATGTAGTTTAAAGTCAATCTAGGATACACGAGACCTTGTCTCAAAAAAAAAAAAAAAGGAAGAAAGAAAGAAAGAAAGAAAGAAAAGTTGGGGGACTGAAGAGATAGCTCAGCTGTTTAGAGCACTTGATATTCTTCCAAAGGATGGGGTTTGATTCCCAGCATTCACATGGCAGCTTACAACCATTTGTAACTCTAGTTCCAAGGGACCCAGTGCCTTCTTCTGGCCTCTGAGGGTACCAGGTACACACACAATACACTTACATACATGCAGACCACACACACACACACACACACACACACACACACACACACACACACACACAAAATTAGAAAATAATTAATTAAAACAATAAATGAATAGTATCTGAGGAGTAACACCCAAGGTTGTCTTTTGTCCTCACACACATGCACACATACAAAATAAGCTATCTGCAGGTCTGATGTCTGACCATGGCTTTATTTCTGTTTCTAAAATGGCAGTTTATCACTGTATCCTCGGGAGGAGATAAAATAGGGCTTCACATGGTAGAGAGTTGAAGGGTCTCTTAGAAGAGGCCTTGACCTCCTTTACAATGGATTTATTCTCAGGATCTAACCGTCTCCCAGAATCCCCACTTTTTGGTGGTTATTTTTTTTTGGGGGGGGGGTGTTTTTTTGTTTTGTTTTGAGAAAGGGCCTCATTTTGTAGTTCTGGTTGTCCTAGAACTCACTATGTAGAACAGACTCATGGAGCTCTGCCTGCCTCTGTCTCTGGAATGCTGGGATTAAAGGTTTGCACCACCTCATCTGAATAAGGCTCTACTTCTTAATATTATTTCATTGAAGATTGAATTGCAACAAGAATTTTAGAGACACAAATATCCCAACAATAGCAGCACTCAGGAGACTGGAGTCGCACCTAATGGAAGATTCTGCAGACTAATCTACTGACTGGAATCCTATGATTCTGGAGGGTTGGAATGTTGCACATCTAAAGCTGAAATTATCTTGGGCAGATTTTAGTTCCCTAGTTTTTGTTGTTGCTTGGGTCGGGTGTTACTTTATTTGTATGTGGTGTGTGTGCCTCTGTGGGGGTCTATGCATGAGTGCAGGTGTGCAAGGAAACTAGAGTCCCCTGAAACTGAAGTCACAGTCAATTGTGAGCTGCCTCACCTGGGAGATTGAAATTGAACAAGGGGCCTCTGGAAGAGCAGCACACACTCTTAACTGCTGTGGAATGTTCTGTATGGCAAATGTGTTGCTAATTAGTTAATAAATAAAACACTGATTGGCCATTGGCTAGGCAGGAAGAGTAGGCGGGACAAGGAGGAGAATAAAGCTGGGAAGTGGAAGGCTGAGTCAGAGAGACGCTGCCAGCCACCACGATGAGAAACAGAATGTGAAGATACCGGTAAGCCACGAGCCATGTGGCAAGGTATAGGGTGGAAATGGATTAATTTAAGCTGTAAGAACAGTTAGCAAGAAGCCTGCCACGGCCATACAGTTTGTAACCAATATAAGTCTCTGTGTTTACTTGGTTGGGTTTGAGCGGCTGTGGGGCTGGCAAGTGAGAGAGATTTATCCTGACTGTGGGCCAGGCAGGAAAACTCAAGCTAAAAATGGCGTCCAACGTGGTGGCAGGAGTTTCCACCTAAAAACTGAGAAGGGATTCTGAAACGGAGCTAAGGACAGTTCCTGGTTGTCTCTCTCAGATGAGCGGCAGCTGCCGGTTTGAGCTACTGGTGGGTTCCTAGCGTGTGCCCTTGACCTGCAGTATGGCTTGAATGAGGCCTCTGCAAGTGGCACATTAAGCTGCATGGTGGATTTAGAATTTGCAGGTGCAGGACAAGGAGGGAGGTTTCTGGACTGCACGCTGCTTGGATAGAAGCATAGACCCATGATAGCTCCCAGAGCTGGTGGAAAACCACCATGTTGGGAAGCTGAGGTGGGCGGAGCCAGCAGCCACAGCTGCTGCAGTTTAAAGTGATGGATTCACAGTAAGACAGATTCAGATGTAATAGTTTAAAATTTATGTAAAATATATGTAGGCTTGAAAGAGACAAAAAAGGTGATATATACAGTTATAGAAACAAATACATAGTTTTTAAAAATAAAGTCTTTAAAGAGACAGTAAAATTAATATAGAAAATAAGCCACGTAAAGATGAATATTACACAGAGAATCTGGATTGTGTTGTCTTTGGGATTCTTAACTGCAGAGAGATATTTGATTGTAAAGGAAGCTGAGTTAAACCAATATGTATATTTTAAAGGTACCTTGACTTCAAAATTTGGATATAAGGATATGTTGCTTTGGAAAGGAGACTCTGCTTTTGTTTCCACAGAAAGCCAGAGGCTATGGATTTGTTCAAGATTAAGATACATCAGGTTTGACCAGCCAAGACCCCCTGAAAGGTCTTTGATGACACCATGGCCCAGATGATCCAACATCCAGAACGGTTTGAAGGCATCTGGCTCAGACAATACAGCCTCATGGACTATTCCATAATCCTAAAATTTTCTTTGTTTCCCCATAAGATACAGTGCCCCCCTCCAGCAGGAAGTAGTAAGAGAAGCTACGCCCAAATTCCCAAATTATATGTAATTTTACTTTGTTAAGGTTAAAACCTTCCTTTTTGAAAAAGAAAAATGGGGGAAGTGCTGTGGAATGTTCTGTATGGCAAATGTGTTGCTAATTAGTTAATAAATAAAACACTGATTGGCCATTGGCTAGGCAGGAAGAGTAGGCGGGACAAGGAGGAGAATAAAGCTGGGAAGTGGAAGGCTGAGTCAGAGAGACGCTGCCAGCCACCACGATGAGAAACAGAATGTGAAGATACCGGTAAGCCACGAGCCATGTGGCAAGGTATAGATTAATGGAAATGGATTAATTTAAGCTGTAAGAACAGTTAGCAAGAAGCCTGCCACGGCCATACAGTTTGTAACCAATATAAGTCTCTGTGTTTACTTGGTTGGGTTTGAGCGGCTGAGGGGCTGGCAGGTGAGAGAGATTTGTCCTGACTGTGGGCCAGGCAGGAAAACTCCAGCTACACTTAACCACTGAGCCATTTCTCCAGCCTTCGTTTAGTGTTTTTTTGTTTTGTTTTGTTTTGTTTGAGACAGGGTTTCACACTATACTCCAGGTGTGGAACTCTGTGTACCCCAGGTTGACCTGGAATTCATGGCAATCCTTCTGCCTCAGCCTCTTATGTGAGCTACCATGCCAAGCTTTTTAATTCCCTTAGTAGACGTGTATCACCTACCTCTCTATCTGACCTAACATCACATTAACAATCAAATAAGTCTCTGGAGTGCAGTAACCTACTAACAGGCCCACTGGCTTCACCCAAGCCAAGAGCTAAGAATGCTGTTTGATAGCATCTAAGACCTACAACAGAGCTTTCCTGATTGGATAAATGCAATGATGTATACTCCCTTCTGGGACTATAAAATTATTATATAACTGCTTCCATGGTGGAAAGGACCGTGCAGAACAACTTGAATCCATATTCCCTGGTCACGCTCAAAACAAACTTAGTCCCTCTGGAGCAAGCACTGTGTTTTGCAGCAATGACGCATTAGAGAACCAGTGGGACAGCGATGGCGCACGCCTTTAATCCCAGCACTCAGGAGGCAGAGGCAGGTGGATCTCTGTGAGTTCCAGGCCAGCCTGGTCTACAGAGCGAGTTCCAGGACAGTCAGTGCTACACAGAGAAACCCTGTCTCGAAAAATAAAAAGAAAACAAGTGATTTTTGAAATTGTATTTATTTAGATGGTGTGTTCATGACATACAGATGCAGCCCAAGTGTGGACAAGGAGGTTAGAGGACAACTTGGTGGAATCACCTCTCTCCATCCACATTCACATGGACTCCAGGAATCAGACTCCAGTTACTGGGGCTGTGCAGCAAGCATTTTTACCAACTAAGGCAACTCACCAGCCAAAAACGGATTCCATTTATGAAATATTTTTGGGAACTGAAACTGTCATCAGCTCCATATTGAGAGCAGCTGTCCCTCCTAAAGTCGCTTCAGATGTCTGTTTTGTCCTTCACGTGTCCTTGATAGCCTGGACCTTGAGCCCATGGTTCTTTGTCTGCTCATCCCTTCTTCCTTACCATCTAACCCCTAATACCTCACAGGGTCTGCACCAGTGGGTGGCCACTTGTTGGTGGAACTTGCTTGGTGGGATGTCCCAGGTCAGCCCTGTGTGAGGTTCTGCTGTGCCCAGGACAGCCAATAACTCTAGAAAGTGATGGAACAAGGAAAGGGTTTTGTTGTTTTGTGGATTTTTTAACAAGGTCTGTAGGGGGCGGGGGGGGGGGGGGGGGGTGTCCATGTGTGTACAGGTGCCCATGGAGGCCAGAAGAGGACATCAGATCCCCTGGAGCTAGGGAAAGACGCAGGAGGATCATACAGAGTTTGAGGCTAGCTAGTTCTACATAGCAAGTTCCAGGCCAGTCAGTTAATACTTAGTGAGATTTTATCTCAAAACAAACAAAATAATAAATGCATTTTTAATTTAAAAAAAAAAGAACGAAGGAAGGCAGAAAAGACCTAAACCTCCTAGTCACAGCCCAGCCCAGGTGTTGGACTCCTGTTTTCCAACATGTTAAGTTGTCCCAAATTAAACCTTTTATTGGGCTGGCAATTTTGTTTTATAGTAGAGCACTTGTTTAGCATCTGTGATGCCCAGGGTTCATTCCCCAGCACCACATAGACTGGGCATGGTGGTGCATGTCTCTAATTCTAGCACTCAGCAAGTGGAGGCAGGATTAGAAGTTCATGGTCATCCTCACTAAATAGCAAGTTAAACGTCACATGAAGTTCTTTAAAAAAAAAAAAAAAAAAGAAAAAAACATGATTGATCAAAAGCTTGTTTGAAAATCTGTGCACCTGATTTAATCACTAGTCTATGCTTGGTATTTTCTTGACAAGTACCTTTTAATCATAAACCTTACTGTAACCTGTGAATGGGGCAGCTCGGGGGAAAGGAGCAATAGATTTTAATTAACTTTACAGTTCATTAAAACATGAAGCTGTGTGCAAAAGAAAAGAAAGCTGCCCTAGTGAATTGAAGAAAGGAGGGATACACAAAGAAACAAAACCCTTTCAACTTAGGGTGGAGCCTCAAGCTTGGGGCCAGTCCCCCTCTGCCATCACCGCTGGCTCTGATGTGCTACATATTCCTTGAGACCTTGTCTAGTGGAAGGATGCAAATGTGAAGTTGTTCTGTGGAAGGAAGTGGGTTGGCAGTGCTGGAGGATAGCAAGGTGGAGCAGAAGGTGTGAAATGCTCCCAGAAGGGGCTCAACTGTACAACTGATAAGAAGGAGGTAAGAATTATACCACAGAACCACCAGGGCTTAGAGTTCTCCCTCCCCCCCTCTCTGTCTCTCTGTCTGTCTTTCTGTGTGTTTGTACATTTATATACAGTTTTTTTAAAACAAGGTTTTCTCTGTAGCCCTGGCTGTCCTGGAACTCTCTCTGCAGATCAGGCTGTCCTCAAACTCAGAAATCCACCTGCCTCTGCCTCCCAAGTGTTGGGGTTAAAGACATGCAACCACTACCGCCAGCTACAGTTGTCTCTTAATATCTGGTGATATGCCCACCAATGGGTATGGTGGTGCATCCCTTTGATGACAGCACTCCAGAGGCAGAGGCAGGTGGATCTCTGTGAGTTTGAGCCTAGCCTGTTGTCTACATAGTGAGTTCCAGGCTAGCCAGGGCTACAAAAATGGACCTTGTCTCAAGGAACAAACAAACAAAAAAGGCCAGAAGAGATGGCCCAGCAGTTAAGAACACTGGTTGCTCTTCCAGAGGACTCAGGTTCAATTCACAGTACCATAATGATGGCTCACAATCATCTGTAACTACAGTTACAGAATATCCAACACCTGTTGTGAAATACTACTTTAACTAGGCAAATGTAACTAGGTGTTACATTTATTTATGCTGTATTAATGATGTAAAGATGTGTTACATTTGTTTATGCTGCATTTGTTTAATTATGTAAAGATGTGTTGCTGTTGCACCTTGCCTGCCTGAGGCACCTGAGTGGTCTAATAAAGAGCTAAATGGCCAATAGCTAGGCAGGAGAGGGACAGGCGGGGCTGAAGGGCAGAGAGAATAAGTAGGAGGAAGAATCTAGGCTCAGAGAAGAAGAGAGAGATACGCTCAGGGCCAGGAACCAGAAGCTAGGCAGCTGTCAGACAGACAGACACTAGAAGCAGTAAAATATGACAGACAGACAGACAAGAGAGAGAGAGAGAGAGAGAGAGAGAGAGAGAGAGAGAGAGAGAGAGAGAAAGTGAGCGAGCCCCAAGGCAAAACACGGATAAAGAGAAACCAATTAAACTAAGAGCTAAGATAAGGCAGAGCATTCATAACTAATAAGTCTCTATGTCATGTGTTTGGGAGCTGGTTGGTGGCCTAAAAGAAAGTCTGCTATAAACACCCTCTTCCGGCGTCAATGTGCACCCATGTGGTGCATATACATACATGTGGTGATATTTTGTGTACCCTAATAAAATTTGCCTGAAGACCAGAGAGCAGAACAAGCCACTAGATTAAACATAGAGGTCAGGCAGTGGTGGCACGCACCTTTAATCCTAGCACTGGTAGACAGAGAATGTCTCTGTGAGTTCAAAGCCACCCTGGAGTATGTGAGATTGATTCAGCCTAGGAGAAAACAGAGCCAGGCAGTGGTGGCACACACCTTTAATCCCAGTACTTGGGAGTCACAGGCCTTTAATCCCAGCACTTGAGATCTCATGCCTTTGCTACCAGTTTTTGGGAAGCACGCACGCCTTTGATCCCAGCACTTGAGATCTCATGCCTTTGCTACCAGTTTTTGGGAAGCACGCACGCCTTTGATCCCAGCACTAGGAAGGAAGTGGTATGGCTGGGGGGAGAAAGGCGTATAAGGTGTGAGGAGACAGGAACTAAAGCTTTTCAGCTGAGAGCCCTTTTCAACTGGACTCCTTTCAGCTGAGGACTCAGAGACATTCAGGCAGAGGATTTGTGGAGGTGGCGAGCTGAGAAGTAGCTGTGGCTTGTTCCTTTGTCTCTCTGATCTTTCAACATTTACCCCAATATCTGGCTCCAGGTTTTTTATTATAAGACTTTTAGGAATTCGTACAACACATACATGTAGCCAAAACACCCATAATAATGATAAAATATTTTTAAAGTAACAATAATGTCCACCAATAATGGACATTTGGTACCCATGGATACCAAAACCCATGGACATTAAAGTCCCTTAAAATAATACTTTTGTTTGCTTTGTTTTTGAGACAAGGTCTAACTGTGTAGCCCTGGCTGTCCTAGAACTCAGAGATCCACCTGCCTCTGCCACCCAGTCCTAAAATAGTATTTGTATATAGGACACACGCATCCTTCTGTATACTTGAAATTGCCTCCTTTGTAATTGTTTGTTTGTTCATTTGTTTGTCAAGACAGGGTTTCTCTGTGTAATTTTATAGCCTGTCCTGGAACTCACTCTGTAGACCAGGCTGGCCTGGAACTCACAGAGATCCACCTGCCTCTGCCTACTGAGTGCTGGGATTAAAGGTGTGCGCCACCTTGGTGTGTAATTCTTGATACAGTATGAATGCTGTGTAATTGCTACACTGAACTGTTTAGGAGACAACTACAGGACAAGGAAGTCCTTACACATTCAGTTCAGATCTACCCATCCGAGGCTGAACTACACTGTCCATCTGCATATCTGGAATCCATGGGATATAATGTAGGTTAGATTAGCAGAAAGTGTTTTAAGACTTTAGAGATAGTTTTGTGGGTTTTGTGGTAGAGCTTCAGGGGCTAGGCAGTTCCTTCTGCTCCAGGTCAGTCCATACCGTTGCCCCAGAACAAGACTGCATTGTTTGCTGACAATAGACTTTGTTAAATGTGAATGGTTATTTGCCCTTAGCCTTGGGAACAAAGCCAAAGCTGGAGTTGCAGAGCACTGTGTGAATCCAGTCTTGGGTGTTGGCTGTCTTCATGACCTTGAGAAACCGCTCAGAAACCCAGTCTTCCTCTTCAAAATAAGCCTAAAAGAGACTGAGGGAGCTTGCTTAGTGTTCACCAGGCCCTGGGTTCAAATCACCACAATAAACAAACAAACAAATAAATAAATGAGCAAGCAAGCCAGGACGTGGTAGTAGACGCTTTTAATCCCAGCACTCAGGCAGGTGGATCTCTGTGAGTTCGAGGCCAGCCTGGTCTACAGAGCAAGACCCAGGAAAGGTGCAAAACTTACACAGAGAAACCCTGTCTCAAAAAAACCAAAAAAAAAAAAAAAAAAAAGAAAAACCAAAAGAAAAAAGAAAAATTTTGTTTTACATTTACTTTACATTCACTTTGTGTGTGTACACGACACAAGTCAAGCACAGACAGCAAAGGAGAATTTGAGGAAGTCTGCTCTCTCCTACACAGGATGGGCTCCATAAGTGACCCTATGTCACATCCATGTCGGTAGACAGCATTTTCACCCCTGAGTCATCTCACTGGTCCCACATACATGGTTAAATAAATAAAACCATCAATGAGGTTGCCATAGAAGATATTATAATTTATAATTTCAGATTGATATAAAATGTTATCTCTATTCATGACTACCATAGAACATTTATTTCCTCAAGGGCATTCACTTACCAAATCAAGTAACTCATAAGGTATGCAGCAGTTACATGTGAACTATGCATGATATCTGAAACCTTCTATACAAATTCACCAAGAAAATTACTATACAAAATTCCAGCTAGATTCAATTGTGCTCCAACATCCTACTTTTCTTCTAGAGTAATTACTCTTTCCTACACACACCCTCTTTTAACTGGCCCAGTGACATCACCACCTGACTCTAGTTATTTCAAGACTCAAAGAAGCCCTGCTGGGCACTTTAGCTCAGAAATGTATCTCCATTAGAATTTGTAAGGAAAAACCTGGAGTGCTTGTAATCCCAACACTCTGGAGGCTGAGATTGGACAACAGCCATACACCTAACCCTTTTTCTGTTTTTTGATTTTAAGTAGTCTTACTATGTAGCATAGATTGTCCTCAACTCAAAATAATCCTCCTGTCTCAATTTTGTGAGTACTGGGATTCATGTGTATATTACCATACCCAGCTCTGATTTTTTTGTTTCATCTTAAAAAAAAAAAAAATTAAAAACCCTACAAGGTTTCACTCAAACTTGCTATTGTAGGCCAGCACTCGTATGAAAGGTGTGGCCTGGAGCTCTTTTTAAACCGTTGCAGTTCCTCTCTAAGCCCAGCTTTCCCTCTGCCCACTGTTCTCTGGAGCTAGTCATTTAGGGTCACTTGCAAAGTCTGTGCTTTAAGGCTGTAAGGAACACATGTAAGGCCTAGGGTGAACAACCCTGGTCAGGAATGATAAGCAATAGAATGATGTAAGTAAACCACAAATGGAGTAGTGATAAGCTATAAGCTATGTGTGGAAGTAGGGATAAGACTAGAAACCTAGCCAGGAAAGAATATAAAAGATGAAGCCTCAGACCCGACCAACAGAGCTCGTCAGGCCCTCGCGCGAGACGACTCTCCTCTGCCAGAGACGTGAGATCCTGTCCCCAGTGCAGACGTGGCTGACCTGAGGAAGGCTGACCCAAGATCCAGAGGAACAGACGTGGCGAGTCCGGACCTGTATACCCGGAGAGGTACTCCTGCTTCCATTTGGAAGACAGGATGAATATTGCTTGTAATCTTACTGTGTGAATAAATGAGTGTTATACCAAGTCTGAATCAAGAGTGATTATTCCTCCCCCGTAACTGGGGTATGTGCTCGCTACAGTTGGCGTAGTCGGCAGGATTTTGGGCTTAAAGCCTCCTTGACCACTGAGCACTGAGGAATGTAAAATAAGTAATACAAAAGAATTGGCTATTACTCTGGTGGAGTAACAAATTACAGGAAACCAAATAAACTAGCAAGTGACCTCAAAGCCGCTCTGAGAAATCAACTCCTCGAAGTCAACTCTGAGGACCTAAAGAAAATCTGAAGGTCCAAGGAGGAAGAACTGGTAGGAGAGAGAGTATCAGAAGCAGACGGGAAACACCACCCTCCCTAAGGGTGCGGAGTACCGAAAGAATACCGGACACCTTGATGCCAACCCAGACCCCTGGGGAAGAGCGGAAGGTGCTGGGAAAGAGCTAAATGAGGCGCTGGCTGGCCAAAAGGATAGAAAGGATTGCGGATTTGAAATTTGAAAAATTGATAACTGATTCTTTGAATCAGTCTAAACGAATTAGTGACTGGGAGTGGTACCGTAGGAAAAAATTAATTAAATTTTTGTACGGCTTGGTATACCACTTACAATGAATAGATTAATTAAGAAATTTAAGAAGACTAACATCTCCCCAGTGACAGGTAGAGAATACCAAGATGAGGTTGAAGAACAGTGGGGAAAAGTAGCCTCCAAGGTTAAAAATAAGGCCGGCATGAAATCAGTAAATGTAACTAACACATTAACAAATCCGGATGTGGTAGAACAAGAATTAGAGGGATGTAGCAAGGCACAAACTACCGCACTGCTTATGAAAACGGTGCAGGATATTGATAAGGACAGATTAATGGGCAAAAGGCTAGCCTTAAACATAGTGAGGAAGGAACAGGAGCGTAGCGCTACTCCTGGATGGAATGGATGTAACACCGTACCATCATTTCCTGTCTCTACCCAAAGTAAGAGAACTCCTATTAGAAGTACTATATCAGCTCTGAACCCCTTCAGCACTGGAGGAGGTAGTAATCGTCCCAAATTTGAAATGGGAACGAAGTTTGAGGAAATCAGGCCATATACTCCTCAGGAGATCTCAGAATTACGGAAAGATTATGCCCAAAATGGACAGAAAGACGCAGAATATATGTGCCGACTGTGGGAAAAGGGAGCTGACACAGTCATGTTAACTGATCTAGAAATGAGAAAGATCAGAAACATAGTAGAGAACCCCTCAGTATCAGAAGCTCTAGAGCATGTAATTGAGACATCAAAAGGCGATACACATCCACTATTAGATTGGATTACTGCAGCTTGGAGATTTGCATTTCCAACATTAGACCTCACTCAATTTGAATCAGCAGCACAGTGGACAACATATGCACAAGCCATAAAACAATGTAGAAAATTAGGCATATTGTATTTCATATACAACCAGGTACCCACACCTCAAGCCGCACCTTTTACACCACAATTTAAAAAGATCATTATTAAAGGAGCTCCAGCACACCTTAAAATGAGCCTAGCTGGACCCCTGCAGGCATGTCAAACCATCTCAGATGCCATGGAATTCTTTAAATCTTACAGGGAAATGGACATAGACAAGGTAGTATCATTCAATGTTAATAAGAAACAGGACAAGAAGAAATTTACACCGCGGTTTTCGAACATAAGACCATTTGGGAAAGCTAATCAAATGCCCATAAGACAGAATGCAAATAAACCATGGAACCCAATTAGAAGGTTGACAGGAAGGAAAAATATCCCATGGAGAGAGACACAGAGCAACCCATGGAGACAGACATGCCAACCAAAACCTTTTTTAGGCAATCGAAATTTCAAACCAAATTTCAGACCAAAATTTTTCAATCAGAACAATCACAGGCCCCCAAGAGCAGGACCCCCCAGACGCTACATACCAAGACGGACTTGATCAACCCGGCTGGTAGACCATTCGTAGCTATACCTATAATAACTAACAAAGGGCCGAGAATAGTAAAATGGCTAATAGATACAGGTTCTGAAATTAGTATAATAACGGAATTTACAGAACATTTTAAAACTGATAAAAGGATTATAATACAGGGAGTAGCAGCAGAAACAGAAGTACCAGTAATAAAATTAAGACTCAAATTATATAATAAGGAATATGAGATTGAAGCAGCTAGCTTCAATGCACCCTGTAATATCCTAGGCATTAAAGAAATAAGAAAATTATTCCCAGACTTTCTAAATAATAAGAGAATAGCTAAGGTCAGATGTAATCTAGCAGAAGTAAAAATACAACCTATTAAATTACCACACACACCCCCGACCTTCACGGCACAATACCCTATCAAAGGAGGTATTAAGGAAATAACAGAGACTATACAAACTTTGCTAAAAGAAGGCATTATAGAGAAATCTCAATCATTCAATTATAACAGCCCAGTATGGCCGGTGCTGAAACCTAATGGCAAATGGAGATTTACAGTTGACTTCAGGAGAATAAATGAAAAAACACCCAAACTTCCAGGACAACTTCCCGATGTGGAAGACATCTTTCTTAGAATTAAAAATTCGGCTCCAAAGGCAATGGCAACTATAGACTTAAGTGATATGTTCTTTGGAATCCCATTACACCCAACATCTAGGGAACTTACTACATTTACATGGCAAGGACAGCAATATCAATTCTTGAGACTCCCTCAAGGGTATTTGAACAGTCCTATTATTGCACACAACACCTTAACAACTACATTAAAGAACTTCGAACCACAATCAGACTGTAACATATACACCTATGTAGATGATATAATGATAGTAGGACAAGCCATTGAAAAAGTACAAAGTACATTAGAGAAACTAATTCAACATTTAAGAAATGAAGGATGGACTATAAACCTAGAAAAAGTAAATAAAGCAGGAACAGAAGTAAAATTCTTAGGGGTACATTGGACTACAGAAGGACCAACAATACCCGAAACAATAATAGATAAATTAAAACAAATTAAGCGACCCCAGAATAAAACTGAGGTACAACATCTAATTGGCCTATTTGCATATTGGAGGCAACATATTCCATACTTACAGATCATATTACAGCCTTTATATAAAATAACAAAGAAAGCACAGGATTTTGAATGGGACCAAAACTGCGAAAATGCCGTTAAATTGGTACTGGAATATATAAACCAGTATAGCCACCTATATTATATACAGCCCGGTGACCACGTATTTGTGGACATCTTGTATATGCAGGGTTATGGTAATTGGAATATATTTTCAAAAAATAAAGACAGGGAAACGCCAATAGGCTTCTACTGCAAGAAATTCCCATGGTCAGAGAACAAATATTCGCTGTTCGAAAGAACCATATGGACAGCCTACGAGGCATTCAGGACAATCCACTCACTGCTCAAAGAGAACCATGTGACTCTCCGATCACATATACCCATTTTGGACTGGGTAAAGGCACCAGGAGAGGCATGGGCTGGACTACCCATGGAAGGAAAGGTACTTCAATGGAAATGGTACCTTCAGGAGTTCCTTCGATCAACACCTCTGTCAGCAAAGGGGTCGGTACCAGCGGTATCGGAGTCGATACTTCAGTCCGACAGGCCCATGACTCCAGAGGGATACATTTTCCCAACCTCAACCCCTCCCCAGAAACAGGTACCAATGGGCCATTGGGGGACTAGAGAGTACGATCCCTCTCTGGTTAATGCCTGGTTCACCGATGGATCAGCAACCACGGTGAACAACAAAGTGAGATGGAGAGCAGCCGCTTATAGACCTGGGGATGGAATGGTCATTACAGACCAGGGCACTGATAAATCAGCCCAACATGCAGAAGTTATAGCCGCACTATTGGCGATAAGACAAACTATAAAGGACAATTATAAACAAATTTATTTATACACCGATTCATGGTGTGTGGCAAATGGCATAGCAGTATGGTCAGGTAAATGGAGAAATAATGGATGGAAAATTAATGGTAAAGACATATGGTCAAAGGCAGCATGGCAGGAATTGGATGCAGCAAGCAGACTAATCAAAATCATAGTATACCATGTAGATGCACATACCAAGAAACAGGATGAGACAAGTAAAAACAATGAAGTAGTAGACAAACTAGCTTCAGCGTTAAGTATAAAGTTAAAAGGTACATGGAAGGCAAACATTAATCCAGAAACAGGAAAAGGTAAAATACAGAGAGAATGGATACAGGTAAGACCATCAACTAAGGACATACCTATAAGTACAGAAGAGATACTGAAAATCCATGAGCAGTTAGGACATATAGGTACACATGCACTAAAAAGTTGGTTCGATAAAAGAAATCTTAAGATAACATGGCAGACAATAAGGAAAGCAATCAATAGTTGCAACAATTGCCCAAAGGCTATTACAAGATTAACACACAATTACCAAGGGATAATAGGACACCGAATGGATTTTAATAGAATCCTACAAATAGACTTCATAGGACCGTTAAACAGCTTCAAGGGAAAATATTGCTGCACCCTAGTAGACATAACAACAGGTCTCGGGATGGCCCGAGAAAGCACACACCCAGACCAAAACACAACAATACTTACAGTCTGGGGATGGTGTGCAGCATATGGAATACCTGATATAATACAATCAGACCAAGGAACTCATTTCACAGGAGCCAAAACACAAAGAATGGCTAGAAACTTAAACATTCAATGGGACTTCCATAGAGCCTATACACCGACAGCAGCTGGAGCAATAGAAAGATGGAACGGAATGATTAAAAAACAGCTAGAGATGCATAAGGGAATACCACTGTCATTAGCAATAAAAATAGCAACTTATGAATTGAATACCAGACCCAGAATAAATAGGAAGTCACCAATAGAAGAAGCTATACAAAAACAACACACAATAGATTACCCTACAGTTATAGATAGAGAAGTAATAAGGAATCCTAATTGCCTTTACAGGAACCGGAAGAATAACAAATTATCCCCAGCAGAAATAATAGCACCAGGAACAGGAAACAACGTGTGGATAACTCAAGGTAAAAAGGACTTGAAATTAGTCAGGCTGGAGGATATAGCATAAATGTGTGTCAGGGAGGTGATATTCATAAGGGCAACCCTCCTGACGATTTGGCTAATAGCTATTGCAGTATACATAGTACTGCCAATCTTAGAATTTGTTTTTCCCTTCTGTAACATCATTTACCAAAGAAGCTACTCATACAACATAGTCAACAATACCAATCCTGGATACGCTTCTGCAGCATCCAGAACAGCCAACTTCACGGTATGCTGGATACACTATCTGCACAGGAGGCAATAAGAATAGCAAAGGTGATGTGCACATTGAAGGCAAGCAAGCTATATGCTATTGGAGCCTTTGTGTGCTCATTTTTCTGTCTCAGGTTAGCAGATGTGATGGCAATAACAGCATACCAATGCCAGCCCTATTGGACAGTACACCCACAACAAACAGACCCACCACCACACCACATGTTATACAAGTGGGCACTAGGAAACAGAATACCGTTGCTACACCAACAATTTATGATCTAGAAGGCAAATTACCGCTATATTGGTCAGCAGAGAGAAGATTTACACATTACATAGGAAAAACACACAGTTTTTGGCAAAAATATGCAGCATGTTTAACATATGCCTGGTATAAGGGTTGCGATCAATATAGAATGGCACTTAGCATATACCATCCAAACAAAGAATATATGTTAGAATCAGGGGATGATGTTAACACCAACATACATGAGCAGAACCCGTTAAAATGCCATTACAATGAATTATGGACCAACATTACCAATCACGCAGCCATATACAACATGTATTGGACAAAGAATTCACATATCAGAACAAACACATTAAGGGTAAACTCACACTATAGGACCAATACAATGGGAATAGAGACAGAACCAGAATTTGACTGCGAACTAGGCATGAATAGCTCCTTTGTGAGACAATATTTCGCACCAGTAATAGCACAACAAATGGAGGAGATAGGTATGCTGTATAATAAGACATCAGAAAGGTGGGAAGAACAAGTGTATAATTACAATGATGACTATTATGATGGTGATTACCCTGCTAGTACAACACCTAAAGTAACTACAACACCTATAAACCCATGCAACCCTATGAATTGGACAGTATGCAATGATGGTGAAATGGTAAAACCATGGCCAGTAGTATCTGGAATAATACCATTACCCAAACCCTGGGGAAATAGATGTCCCAATAACTTATGGAGATACATTCAAAAACATAAGCTAGATGTACCAGGACAAAATAATACTAACTGGTTATGCGTAGCAGACTATCCCAATTTACCATTCTATGGTAACTTCTCTGTATTATATAGCACAGATAACCCATCAGTAAAAGGAAAGGAATGGAAATGGGATGACTGGACAAAAATATTGCAATTAGGAGTAGAACATTGGAGATTCCCAATCATACTTACAGATATTATACAACAACCTTGGGCTTCAATGAGACACACAATGAAACCTAAATATGATTGCAACACAGACACCATAACACACATTTGCATACTTACAGTAAATTCCACATTACACAGGGAAAAACACTCTTTTGCATATGCATGTATAAATATGTCCGAAGCAAATACAAACATTAGACAAAACAACAATACAAAGACTATAGTGGACCTACATGTAGGACCTTTATTTACTGGAAGAACATCAAGGTCAGTACAAGATTTAATAGCAATCACAGATATAATAGGCCAGAAAATACCATGGCTAGGAATTTTTGTGGACAGTACTGCAAATATAACAGCTACTAAACAGGTCCAGGCAATAATGAGATTTAATGATGACCAACAGTCATATCCAACATATTTTACGCAAGCAAGTAATTTGGGATTTTTTAACCTAACCTTAGCAAAATCACTAACACAAGGTACCACAAGCTTGAGAAACAAATTATCATGCTTTACCGAAACAAATAATACAGCGGTACGGACTAACTGTACCACAAATAAAGCAACCACAATAATAAATTTGAATATATATGGTAAAATTACCATAATAAACAAACATATGTCACTAGTAAAATTTGACAGCACACCAATATTAACCATAGGCATGATACATGAACCAAAACATAAAATACATAACATGCTAGGTGGCAGTAAGATATCAATTTGCTGGTTTCACGAATCTAAAGACTTACTGGACATGCCCATACCCTGGGAAGTCAGTGCCAATGTTACTACAGATGAAGTAGCAGCAAAAAATATTTTCATATTTAATAGGGCAATTGAACAAAAGGCATACAATTTCACAGGTATAAGGGAGGTAGAATATATCCCACCATATGTACAAATGACAAAGGCTATGAGAATCAATAAGGTTATGGATCCAGATGACCTAATGGTACATTATAAAAATGGGATAACTAGATCAGGGAGTTTTTGGCAAACTTTGGATTATGAAATGGATAGAGTAATTGAATTACAGCACCATAATCTCCCATATTATTTCTACATGTTAATGCCAAATCCACAATATAAAGAATGGAATAAGGCTGAATGGGTAGCACACAAACCTAGAGGATCAATGAAATCACATACACAATATTGGGATAAAATATATTATCTCCCGATATCAAGAAATAAGGATTTTCTCAGCGAACATTCCAACACACCATTAATTATATTTAGAGGAAATATGACCAGACCAAATAAAGAAAATATTGGATTATATACAGCTCATTTTCCAAAAGGATACCTAATACCACCAGAAGGAACCCCAACAGTAGTCAAGGCACCAGCTATTATACCAGACCTAAAAAGTCCAGCTAAATTAGTTTTATACCCTAGGATTAGAAAAATTGAAATTACAATAGATTTGACAGCACTGAAACCACCTATAGAATATTGTAGTGATGTGAATTTTAGATTTGATTTAGACTACTCATCACCAACAAGAGTAGGAAGAAAACCACTACAAGCAATGGCAGTAGCAGCCTTTATGGCAGGAGCAATTTTAGGTGGAATAATGGGTGGAGGAGTATCAGCAGCAATGATAGAACCAATAAAGGCAGAAATATACCACATACAAGAAGTAAATAAGAAAACAGCAGAAGCTTTAGCAGCTATATCAAATTCTATAGATGGCATGCATACACTAATACAAACTATGCAAGGTGAGATAAAAATGTCACAAGACCTTTATAAGGAACAATTCTCCTATCAAGCAAAACTTATTAATACTAACCATAACATGATGATGTGTCAAATGTATCGAACTCAAGTCAGTAATATGAATAATGAATTAAATAGTTTATTTAGCACAGGGTTAGGGAGAAGAACAAGAGAATATCAAAGTATACTAAACCCTGAATATGAAAGCTCATGCACAGATGGATTATGCAATATACATTTAGTACAGATCTTCTTACAAAATTCATTTTCAGCATATCATTCCAAGGCGATACCACAGCTATATACTGAAAGAACAGGAGTATCAGAATGGAACCACCAATACTTAGTACCCATAGACCATTACTTATGGACCAATATGAATGACACACCAGTGTACATACCATTAGAAGACTCCATATCATTAGGAGCAAATACATACGTTTATCCACATTTACCAGAAAGCACACTTGAAACTAGTCAATTGGCAGTAACTACTATCACACAGTCACTAGAAGATACGGGAGATTACACTTTCTTGATATGTGCTAAATATTTACCTACTTTAGTTAGCTGCATAAATCTTAATGAAACCACAATGAATGATGATATCACAACATTCAATATTACAGAATCAGGATGCTATATGGTACACAACTGTAGCATCCTACAAATGAATTTCACTAATTATGATGGTAAAAACATAACCAAACAAAGAGTGACCACATTAACACTAGAAGAAAAACATTATTTTGATGGCTCACACTTATTTAATGACCCAACAGAATTAGAACATCACCAAACATTTGTAAAACAAGCAATGGAGTTACAGCACATTGCAGATTTCAATCAGAAACAACTGGAATCCATACATAACAAAATTAAAGAACAAGATGCAGCCATACATACATCACAAGCACAAACGCACAATCTAGTGAATCTGTTAAGAACAAATACATACATACATAAAGACTGGGCAAAACAGATGCAGAAATGCAGCTTTTGGGATTATTTAGGCAGACTAGTCAGATTAGATCTAATATGTACACCAATTTACACATGGTGGCACTGGATAAAGTTAGCAACCTTTTGGTTTTTAGTAATTTTAGGGATAAGTATTGCTTTATGTTTGTCTAAAAAAATCAAATGCTTGATAATAACTCCATGCTTAAGATGTCTTACAGGAATCAAGTAACAGGAAACCCACTTTGGAATCCGTCAGGCAGACGCTTCGATTTACTTAGTAAAAATGGAATGAGTAATTTACTATATACCACATACCAAAAATATATGGAACCATTGTCTGATATTTTCTATAGAATAGGTATATTATCTATGGCAGGAACGATACAGGGATGCAAATACTGCACCCATAAATATGCAATGTTCTACCTATCAGAACCAGGTGAGGTAGACAACCTCCCAATGCTCTTGATGCACTTAACGTTCCACTTGACAATAGAAGGAGGTATACATGATATGAGATTAATTGGAGATGGATACATGAGATATTATGGAACCATACAATCTAGTGTATATAAAGTGAATGGAATGTACAAAATACACAGAAATAACATGGATGCAGCCCTACATATAAGCGCAGCTTTAGCTGCAGCATATGTGGGCCGCGGTAATCACAGAATATATGAAACATATAGAACATGGCTAAAACATAATCCTGATGAAGCAATAATAAGCATTGATAAAGATTTCCTGAATGACCCACAGTGGGAAACAGGAGAACCAATGTATTTACAAAGCATATGTACTAGAATATTGTGTAGAGATTTTGTTATAGATGTGTTAAAAGAATTTGCAGCTTATAGCACTTGGTTGAAGTTATATAATGCATATATAGAGAAAAAACATAAAAATAAACCACCCAGAATGAGAAGGATAAGAATGCTAGGATTAACAAATTAGGATAACATATTGTAAATCCCCAGGCTGCGACCTCATGTGATGCCTTTTATGTTGAAGACATTTCAGGCATCAGGGGATGGAATGTAAGGAACACATGTAAGGCCTAGGGTGAACAACCCTGGTCAGGAATGATAAGCAATAGAATGATGTAAGTAAACCACAAATGGAGTAGTGATAAGCTATAAGCTATGTGTGGAAGTAGGGATAAGACTAGAAACCTAGCCAGGAAAGAATATAAAAGATGAAGCCTCAGACCCGACCAACAGAGCTCGTCAGGCCCTCGCGCGAGACGACTCTCCTCTGCCAGAGACGTGAGATCCTGTCCCCAGTGCAGACGTGGCTGACCTGAGGAAGGCTGACCCAAGATCCAGAGGAACAGACGTGGCGAGTCCGGACCTGTATACCCGGAGAGGTACTCCTGCTTCCATTTGGAAGACAGGATGAATATTGCTTGTAATCTTACTGTGTGAATAAATGAGTGTTATACCAAGTCTGAATCAAGAGTGATTATTCCTCCCCCGTAACTGGGGTATGTGCTCGCTACAAAGGCCGTGGTGCTGCTGGAGTGAAGGGCAGGCAAGCCCACCGTAGCAGAGCAGGGAGCCACACTAGGAAGTGAAACTGAGGAGTGTTTCATGACACTCTTAAAATATTAAATATTCAAAGATAAATAACTTTTTTTTTGCTTTTTTTTTTTTTTGTTTTTTGTTTTTGTTTTTTTCCGAGACAGGGTTTCTCTGTGTAGCTTTGCGCCTGTCCTGGATCTCACTCTGCAGCCCAGGCTGGCCTCGAACTCACAGGGACCCGCCTGGCTCTGCCTCCCGAGTGCTGGGATTAAAAATGTGAGCTACCACCACCCGGCTCTTTTTTCATTTTAAAAATAGTGCAGGCTGCTAAGTCTTGGGAGGGAGCTTTGGTCTTAACAGTGAAATCTGAGAAAGGTACAGGATACAATTTTGAAAGCTACCCTTCAAGGATTTCCTTTGGTTGAGAACATTAGGTAGATTATGGCTGTTTCTGTAGTCATTTTTGTATGTTAATACAGACTCCTCTCACCAAAATGCCATCTCCTAGGTATATTTGCTTCCCAAAGAACAGCTTTGCCCAGGAACGAGGAGGAGTCAATTTACCCTTAATGACTGGTTCTACCTGGAAGAGAACCACACAAATTTTTAGTCACAGAACAGTACCCCCCCCCAAAAAAAAATAATCAATATGTTGACCAATTATATTTGTGGGACTATCAAGTAGATGGGCCACACAGCAAAGCTGCAAAGTGGGGAAATTATAGATTTCAGATGTGATGTTACAGCCGCCTTAGCTGTAGGGTTGACAAAGCTAAACTGAATGATGCCTCTCAGGAAGTTTATTAATTAGGAGACTGTTACAAGTTAAAGTAGGGCTGGAGAGATGGCTTAGGGCTAAGAGCACTGGCTGCTCTTCCAGAGGTCCTGAGTTCAGTTCCCAGCAACCACATGGTAGGATCTGATGCCCTCTTCTCACAAAAAGTTGTACATGCAGACGGAGCACTCATCTACATAAAATTAATAAATCCTTTTTTTAAAATGTCAAAAAGGCTATTAAAAGCAAGGTGGGCTTAGACGGCTCAGCAGGTAAAAGCACTTACACACACACACACACACACACACACACACACACACACACACTAGTTTTCAAAGAGGCCTAAAATAGTTCACGATCATTTGGCTCTTGGCTACATTTGAGCTCCCCACATTTATGATGTTCTAGTCATTCAGTCCGCAGGATCTTGACTATAATGTTCTTCAAAGGACTCCAGTTCACCCAGCGGGTCCAGAACAGGGCAGCAGATCTGACCTTGCCCTCTCAAGCTTTCTTGGCAGACTGAATCGTCCTTTGTAGACTCAAAAACAATCACTGGGAATTGAGTGCCACAGTCCGTGCAAGATTTTTCTTGAATCAATCTGCAGTTTGGAAAGTTGCCATCCATTCAGCGTGCACTCAAACCGGTTTTTTCCCCTCCTCAAACCCCAGAACAAATTGTAGCCAGGAGCTCTGCTTTGTCAGGTGGGAACTTCAGTCCAGATTTACAATCTTGTCTTTTTCCCTCAGCCAATTTCTCTATTGTTGTTCCCCACATCCTCCTAAGGACGTGGGTGGGATTCAACCCCTAGTCTTATTTCCAATTAGACTCCAATTTCTCTAGTTTCCATTTCGTGGTTTTTATTTTCTTTTTTTGGTTTTTCGAGGCAGGGTTTCTCTGTAGCTTTGTGCCTTTCCTGGGACTCACTTGGTAGCCCAGGCTGGCCTCGAACTCACAGAGATCCGCCTGCCTCTGCCTCCCGAGTGCTGGGATTAAAGGCGTGCGCCACCACCACCCGGCTCGTGGTTTTTATTTTGTTAACCATTGTCCAGGTTATATGGGACTCAGGTCACACCTTCCTAAGAGTGAACCGTCTCACAGCCCTTCCTAAGGCCCCCCCTCCACCGCACTTAAAAGTTAGCTCTCTTCATGTGCTTTGACTCTCCAAAAGTTTTTAAAGAAAGCTCTGATGTTCTGGGCAGTGATCAATAGAAAAAAAAAGGTCACCCACTTAATTATATGTTGTACTTCATTAAAATAACAAATGGGGGCTTCCTGGGTTCGTGGTGTAGTGGTCAAGCCCCCCAGTGATGGGTTCACCTGAGTCACACCCACGAACAGGCCACGAGGGGTGATCTCCACAAGTACCTGCCACCTCAGGGACACCTGAGTCTCCCTGGGGAGCACTCACAAAGGCAGTAGTCCCGAGGCGACCTCAAATTCCCGCCCTCAGGAAAGGCTTCAGACGCTCCACGCCCGCAGGCCTCCCTTTGCACACCGAGTCCTCTGCGATCCCGGGCCACGGAAATGTGAGCCCGCCCGCTGACGTCATCGCCCCGCCCCCTCAGCGCGCGCCTCGGTTCCCGCCCCGCCCCCTTTCCCGACGTTCGCCGCGGCCGAGGCTCCTCGCCCTCTGATTTTGCTTCTCCCTTCAAGATGGCGGAGACAATGAGCCGGCGCAGCGCCGGTTGGCCCTGAAGTGACTCTGGGGAAGAACGGTCAGTGAGGTTCCCGTCATCCCGACGAGAGAGCGCTGGTTGAGGAGGAGGAGGAGGAGGACGCGGCGGCCCGACTGTCAGCCGCCCTCCCGGCAGCCGCCACCGCGGCGCCCGCACCGCTGGGGTTGGCCCTGAGCAGCCCGCCCGCCCGCCTGCCTCTCGGCCCCGCCCCGGCCCTGCGCCGCCGCGGCTGCCTTCAGCAGCAGCCGCCGCCGCCGCCGCCGCCGCCATGAAGCTGACCGACAGCGTGCTGAGGAGCTTCCGCGTCGCCAAGGTGTTCCGCGAGAACTCGGACAAGATCAACTGCTTTGACTTCAGCCCCAATGGGGAGACAGTCATCTCCAGCAGCGACGATGACTCCATCGTGCTCTATGACTGCCAGGAGGGCAAGTGAGTGTGGCGGGGGCCGCGGGCCGGATTCCGAGTGCCTCCCTCCTTCCCTCTCGCCGCTGGTTCCCGACTGAGGCCCCCCCCAGCCTGTGGTGCACTCCAGCCTCCATCCTGCCGTGGTGCAGGAGATCTTTTCCTTTCTTTGAACGATGGCCATGGTCGTAGTAATACTAGCGTTGTTATTTCATGTGTCTTTGGTCTCTTGCGAGCGCGCCTTCTTCGTCTCTTGCCAAACCCCACCTTGACCTTGACCTTTAAACGCCATGTCCGTGCACCCGGCGGCCAGACGGATAGCCCTTTCCACCCCTCTTGACTGTCAGAAGGTGCGGGTCGCCTCTGAGCTCGGTGCAGCACCGTAAGAGCTGTTCTGCCCATCGGCGGCGTCAGCTCGCTGCCCTCACCGCGGTGACCTGGATTCGGCCCTGGCACCGCGCCCGTCCCTGCCCCTCAGCTTCCCGCGCGGCCTTTCTGCCATCAAGCCCCGCGAGATGCAGTTGTTAGTTGTCAGGATTTATCGATTGTGCCTATGGGAGCTTGCTGCCCTTCCCCTGTACCGATACCCACGCTTACAGTTAACTTGTTAAACAGCCTCCCGGAAACTTTTCTTTGCCAGACTCTTGCGAACTTGGCCGCCCCATTCTGGTCAGAATGCGAGCTCCCTTTAAAACAAAGAAAGCATTCTGGAACAATTTAGTGTTTCCTTTTGCATACCAAAAAAAAAAAAAAAAAGTTTACCCGGGTGTGGCAGCCCAGCCAGCAATCTCAGCATTGGGACGACAGGGGCAGGCAGATTCTGAGTTCTGGACTTCATAAGCGAAACTCAAAACAGTCAAAAAACCCGCCAGTGTATGGTTTGTTTGGAATTAACATTCTGGATCTGGTTATGGGAGTTACATGTTAGTTGGAAAACTGCTGTGATTGTGTATCTTTGCTGAGCAGAGCACTTTGCCTTTTTCATGGCCTAGGTCGGGGGAGACATTGCCTGGCCTCACCCCTGTAAGTCGAAGTCTAGTGTAGGCTCAGTTTGATTTCGCTTGTCAACTTCAGCCGCCTTTCCAAAGCAGATGTTTGATTTAATTTAATAGCTACTGTTTTTGACATCATTTTGTCAAAGTTACCTGTGGTTTTGAAGCCTTAGCTTTTCTCTACTTTCTCCAGGTGTTCCTTTTGTTTATTTTTTCAAATAACAGACAGTTTTCCTTTGGAACTTGTCTCTGAGTTTATCTAAAGTAAGGCTGTGTTGTAGACTTAGCTGCATATGATGTTTTTCCTCACTGGGGTTATAACAAAGTATTACGTAACTAACTCTGGACCTGCCTGCTGTATGTGGAAGAGTTCCCTACAGTGGTGATCCTAGTGAAGAGAGAATTACTAGCTGGAGAGATAGTTGTTTGAATTGATATTCATTTTAGTGTATTGGTTTTTACTTGCTCTACCCATTTGAGTTTGTTTGGAAGAGATGGTAGGATTTAAAGTTGGGAACTAGAAGTAATTTGAAGTAGGTTTGCTTGAAATGTTTAGTGCAGTACATAGATTAGAATCTTCCCTCCAAGAGCTGAAATGGAAATGCATATCCCTTATTCAAAGGAACAAAATGCTAAGACTAAGACTGTTTATTGATGCATAAAATCTTTTTACATGAGTACAGACTTAATAGAAAGTTACAATGTTCCAAAGAACTTTCTTGAAGGAAAAAAAAAAAGAACATTCTGCTCTGCAGCGCCTGTAATTCCAGCACTTGGGAGACTAGGGGTGGGAATATTGGAATGCAGCTTGGAACTACATAGTAAGACCCTGTCTCAAAAAAAGAAAATGTACGAGCTGGAGAGATGGTTAAGAGTATACTTGCGCTCAGTGGTAGAGCGCTTGCCTAGCAAGTGCAAGGCCCTGGGTTTGGTCCTCAGCTCTGGAAAAAAAAAATGAAAGGAAGTTTGCAGACAATTTTTGCTGGGTGGTGGTGGCGCACACCTGTAATCCCAGCACTCAGGAGGCAGAGGCAGGCGGATCTCTGTGAGTTCGAGGCCAGCATGGTCTACAGAG